GTTCATTAGTATAAAAGAAATGTAACATTAACTGGGAAATGATCTTGAAAGCTGTTATTCAGCAGAAAAAAAAATAAAAAAATTTTCCACGAACACGTACGACTTGAATAACAGAGCTCAGCTCACTGTGATGGGTGTGTTTGTATTGAGCAGGACTGACCACAGCTTAAAGCTCCTGTGGGATCCGCGTGCTACTCAAGGGCACTTTGCCTGTCACAGCAGGCGCTGCAGATGCATCACAAGCCACACTACAGCCACGAGCTCACCGCTGTAATGCACCGCCTCATCAGTGACAAAGATCGTATCAGCGGGTTGATATGTTTCATCAGGAGGAGAGGAGTCAGTGTAAGAGCACACGTCGATGAATAATGTGCTTTTTAGAAAAGGAAGAAGCTGAAAGGAGTGATGGAGGAGTGGTGGCGGGGGGCGCGCAGGGACAGACACATTAGACAAAGAGGAAATTGGTCAGTAAAAAAAAAAGAAAAAGGGGAGAGTAATGCTGATGCCTGTTGCCATGGTGATGTGGGTCAATGACTGGTTGCCATGGTGATCGCTACTTGGAATTCTGGGAAGGGATATTTTGGCGTGTGCGTGTGGATGAGGGGAGACGTTTATTCAATATAACTGAGAATGTGCAGCATGCGTCTGTGTGTACGGACGGGCACCTTTATAACAGCAAGTGTGGTAACGTGTGCTGCAGTAAGTCAGGCGCAGTGCTGCTCAAAATTCAAAATAAAGAAAGAATATCAAGATAACGGTGCAGCCTGTAACCTGTCATTACTTTGTGTAAGGATGATTTAGTCTCTAAGGTCTGCATATTTGAGACTTTGTGATCAAAGGTCAGAGGTCACTGTGACCTCACTCAAAGATGTACTTGGTATTTATGACCAGTGTTGGTCAACTTACTTGAAAATATTAATTAGTTACTAATTACTGATTACTTCCCAAGAAAGTAATCCCATTACTTTACTGATCACTTACACAACCTGAATACATTCTAAAGCAATAGACAATTCAATTTTTTCTGCATAATCCATCAGATGAAATTTGAATGAAAAAGACTCTTTCTAAAAAAATGTTTTATTAGTTTTCATCACTAACTTTATGCACTTTGCATCAAGCAAGAATTAAATTATATGCAACAGTCTTTGACTTGAAGAAATTTGTTCAAAATTTAAACCTTTTTTCTGCGTATTCCAGCGTATAAAATAAAATAATTTTTTGTGTTTACACTCACTCTTTCAAATAGATGCAAGTAAAACACAGCAAAAAAGGAATAAAATCAAAGACTCCTGTCGCTCTTAAATCTATTGCCAACTGTTTAGGAGGAGTGGGGCCGGTGGTCGTACTTGCTCCCACACTCCATATTATCCATTGTTGTTCTACACATTTCTGTTACTACCACAGCGTCGCACGCTCGTACGTCATTGTCATGAGACACTGACAAACAAAATCACAGTTTAGTAACGCAGCGTGCTTATGGGAAAGTAACAGTAAGCTAATTATTTTTTTTTGCAATAGTAATGCCTTACTTGCAGCATTTTTTATATATATATATATATATATATATATATATATATATATATATATATATATATATATATATATATATATATTTGAAAAAGTGACTGATCAAATTCAATCAAAGTTAGATTTATATGCAAATAAATCCATTAATGCACTCGACATAAATCTGGACAAAAACAGCCAAGCTTTAAAATTTCAGAATTTCATATCAGAAACGTTGGTACAGGCATGCCTCCATTCAGTCATTCTACTTTTTTTATTCTTATTTTTTGTGTGTGTGGCAAAAAAATTTTCTTTTAGATTGTTGTTTCAGATATCAGTAAGCTTTTCTTCACACAGCAGTAAAAGCCCGATAATGTATTCATCCTCATTGTTGGCAGAAACGACCTGCATGTTAATGGAAGTAAATTTGGCAGATTGTAGGTTTTATGCCTAATTTGAGCCTTCTGATGAAACCCTGTTGTTAATGGGTTTCTGGGTCAATGTGTGTCTTCTGTTTTTGTATCTTTGTTTGCATGTGTCTTTGTGTGTCTGTCCAGGTGCGTAATCAACTCCTCATTCATTTGGTGAGTCACACTTTTCTGTATGTATCAGTGAGGGGTGGGAGTGCACTCTCCACATGAAATAGTGAATATGTAGTGAAAACAGGAGTATGCCATTCAGTCCCCACAGCTGCCTGGCTTGATGAGTCATCTGGTAAACAATAAAAAATGTGATACAACAAACTGTTATAAGAACAGCATGCTCGTTCAGTGAGAAAAATGCTCGCTATGCATGCATTTACAACCCTGCTCACAGTAAAGTTCATGTTCTGATGTAAAGCAAATTTAATTGAAATTCAAAATGAGATTGGTTACTTGGTTTCAACATTAAAACAGTGTTGCCTTCATACTATTTTCTACTAAATTAAGGCATTTAATTAAGGTATTTTAGCTCTTAGGTCTGGGCTTGCCTACTATCAGCAGACGTGATTCCTTTACTTCTGTCCTCCAGGTCCTTGAAGTGATGCTGATGTGAATGCGATGCTGTGTGACAAGCTGAGTCTGGAAGACATGAGGGAAAGCTCAGGGCATTGAAGTGTGTGTGTGTGTGTGTGTGGGTGTGTGTGTGTGTGTGTGTGTGTGTGTGTGTGTGTGGGGCATGAGAAGAGATGTGAGATGACGTAGCGTGCAGGCTGCATGCTACAGTACACCAACAGCATGGGGAACAAGAATAGACTCAGCACACTCGTAGGTTGTAGTTGAGGCTGATGGATGTGCACATGGTGGTGGTGCACGTGAGCCCCCCCCCCCCCCCTTCACTAGTGATGTCAGCCCATGTACACCCTGCTAAAACTGGCAGTGCATATAAGCCCATCCCCCTTCTAAATGGCCTGCATTATTGTTGGAGCTACTTTGGGGTGTTTTTGCTACTTTGTCTGTTTACACAAACTGAACACGCACATTGGAAACAAATATATATATATATATATATATATATATATATATATATATATATATATATATATATATATATATATATATAATTTATTTATTCTTTTAAAAAAAATTATTATACATTACATTTCATCAGTCTGTTCTTCCTGTCATAAACATGCAGACATCCACCATTGCAGGATTACCCATAATCGTCCATGGAAGTCTGTCTTACTTGATTCCACTACAATCCCTTGTGGTAAAGGGAAAAATAAGGACAAACCTACATTAACACACACACATGCTTGCTCTCTGTCTCTTGCATACACACATAATTAGCTTGTTAATGCTGTTTATTTACTTAACCTTCACAGAGCTGACAACTTTCTCAGTGAACTGATTTTCAGCGCGTCACCATTATAACCCTACAGGCATGTGTATCGATGCAGAAAACATCCATGCCAAATGCATGCTGCAAAAACCTCTACATGCATCAAACCTGTAACATAAAACAACGGTCCCGCCACACACAAGTGATGTTGTGCTGAACTCGAAAGCTTTGATCAATAGCATATCGACTGCTGCCGCTGTATTATATGTCATCTGAGTCACCCTTGAATCAAATGCCAGTCAATGTTTATTAGGCGCACGCCACCAGAGACACAACACCCTTGTAATGAGCTTATCCTCTAAACTGAACAGCTGCTTGACATTGGTGGTGTTCAGTACAGAGTGACTTAATTGAGAAGATGATACTGTTGGATAAACACACAGCTTGGAAGACAAAAAAGCAGAAATTGAACCATTCCTGAGCACATGCAACAAATTACAAAGTCAGCTTAATGAACGATCTGTGCTAACACCTTTTTTTCATCGCTCTCTCTGTGAAACGATAAATACCTGCCATCTTGCAGACCACACACATGCACACATGCTCTGTCAGTGTGATGTTGTGGTAGAGAAAAATTCAGTCTGTCTAAACAGAATGGGTCGTGGGTGAGAGAAAAAGAAATGGGCAAGTGGAAGACAGATGCAAGTCAAGAATCGGCAGCTCGTGGCTTTTTTGGAACTTTCAGGACCAGCATATTCCCAGAAAGTAATCCTGGGATTGCTTTTTTTCTGGATCAGCTGCTAACTGACTAAACTGTCTCGTCCTGTCCCTCCCACTGCGTTTCATCCCTTGTACAACACACATGAGCAAGCCTAAACCTTAATCACATTAACTAGCTGGGCAGCTGCTGGTGCTTTTTTCCCTCTTCTGTGACGTATAAAACCAGCTGCAGGGTGTAAAAGGGTTGAAGGAGCGGGTGGGGTTGAGATTATATGATGAGGTCATCATCTCCTGTGATTTATGGTTTCAGCACGTGATGGGTGGGACGCTGGCTTCTGCGCAAATGCTCCTGATGATCTTTGAAGACTGAACATGGGAAAATGAGATTAAAAGTATTAATTGAAAAATATTATCCTATGAATCTGGGCCAATACCATGTAATTCTAAAATGCTGGTACCAAATATAAGCTCCTCTGTATTGTTGCTGCCTCTTTTATCACCTCACCTCTTTCATACTTAAGTGCGGGCCGATATGTGATCTTACATTGATTTAGTTTGGCTTTTTTCATTGATTTTACAGCTCAGCAGTGGTTACTAATCTTCCAGAGTGATGCCTTTGTCAATCTGATTATCAGGATTAATGTTTAAGTGTGTGAAACTGATATATGGTGACCGATTGCAGCATGGTACAGCTTTACACTGTGATTTTTAAGCCATGTCTTCACATCTGACCTTCCTCTGTTCTGTTTCTTTTAGGTGTTTTCTTTTAGAGCCACAGCCAGTTTAAACTTTTCACCGATATATATGTTTTTTGGGGTTTTTTCTTATTATTCACTCTGATAATGTGGCTTACCGCTAATCCAAGAATCTTTCTGAAACAAGAGTTTAAATCATCCGATTGTGGCTGTAATATTTGTTTTTAGGTTAAGCTATGGCTCCTTTTCTCAGAAATGGCATTAGTGAAAATCATTTCTGAGTAACCGCCTGACTTTGTGTTCTCTCTACAGGGCTGGAATTGATGATGTGGAGACAGATGTGGTAGAAATTGAAGCAAAGCTCGATAAGGTATGAATCCTTCTAACATGTGGACTGTGCTTCTCATTAAAAGATAAAGTCAGCTGATCCATAAGGGAAAAAAATCACGTGTCCATTTCTTTCAGTGGTTAGAACACTTTAAACAGGGCATTAGTGGAATTCATTGGCTTTGTTTGAATGCTAAACGCCACCAGATGGGGAGGTTTTCTATGAGTAGTACTTTAGAGTCTACGCTGTAATCAGTTTTCTGTATCGCTGTCTTTCTCGCTCTGCATGTCTGCAGTTCACACACTTGTTATTTAAATGTCAGAGCTATTTAAATAATGAAAACACTGCAGACAGTTAATTAAATGCAGTGGGTTCATGCACCGAACAAGAGGCTGCCCGTTTACAGGGAGAAAAGACTGATTAATGCCAGCGAGGTTGCAAGTAGTAGAAAAGGCTCACATAGTGCAGTTTATTACATTAGTGTGCGCTGAATTTCCCTTTTTTTTTATACAACAATTTATGAGACATGAATTAAAGCACTTTACTTTATTCCATCTCATTTGTTGCTTATGCCTGACAACAAGAAGGTCCTGGGTTTGAATCCTCCCGCTGGCTGGGGCCTTTCTGTTTGGATTTTGCATGTTGTCTCCATGTCTGCCTGGGTACTCGCCGGGTACTCTGACTTCTCCCCACATACCAAAGATGTGCTTGGATTAAGTTAACTGGAGATTCTAAATTAGCTGTAGGTGTGAATGTGAGCGTGTCACAGGGTGCCCACAAAGATGGGCTCCAGTCCCCCTGTGACTATGAATTGGTCAAGCAGAAGAAAATGGATGGATGGATCACTCTGCCCTGAAGTGCAATTTGCCTGAACACAGGAGGTGTTAATTTTAAAGCTGCCGTAGAGACCAAAACTAGGAGGTATATTTATTTTATACATATATTACAGTTCATACTCATGCAGCATTTCATAGTACTATCAGTCAGGTAGCTATATTTGTTTGCCAGAATGAGCCCAGCAAACATACACTATTTGGACAAAAGTACTGCACCTCTTAATCTCTGAATTCAGATGTTTTCGGTTCTATTGCCGCATGTGTCTAAAATCAATCAGCTAGCCAATGAAAGAATGGGACGTTCACTGTATTTGAGTGTGGTACTGTAATAGGAGGCAACTACTGGAACAAGTCAAGTATTTTCCCTCCTTGATATTCCACAATCAGCTGTAAGTGGTATTACTTGCAAAGTTGATCTCTTTAGGGATGACAGACACTCAAAAAAGTGGCAGAACACATCAACTTACAGGGTAGGGCCACCGAGTGTGAGGCATAAAAGTTGCCAGCTCTCTTTTGACTCAAGATCTGCAGAGTTCAAACCTCCTCTGGCATCAACATCAGCACAAACACCGATGTTAATACCAAACAAGTATCAGCTCCTGTATGTGGCCCAGTACTTTTCTCCACATAGTATATAACAGAATAATTTAGAAAAAGAAGCTTAAGGTAACTCCATAAGTGTAGGCATTCGCATCAGCATCACTGTGATCAGGCTCTGTTCTCTATGGTATTAGTGAGAGGTTAAAGGTTTAAAGGCAAATGGAACGACTGGAATAAATTTTATAGCTGTATCAAACCTAATTAGCTACAGAGATAACTCTGGATGGACCGGATGACTGTCTTGAGGAAGTGAGCTGAAAGGCTTCTTCAGATAAACTAATAGACGTGGAAGTCAAAGAGAATTTAGAGTGGGAGATTGTGTTACTGCAGCTTCTTTCTTCTTCTCTCTGAAGGTGAATCTGAGACAGTTCTTCAAACATCAAACAGCCTGCAGACATAATGAAATGTGGATTAACAAACCTCAGTGTGAACACCTAAGTTTGTTTAAATAATAAAGTTATTATTTAGATGGTTTTGACTTACTTAATATTAAAGTTCATCATTAAGGAGTAATGTGAATAGAGCCCCTTGCTCTCTACACATATAAACATTCCTGCCACCAACTGATAATGCAGGACCTTATGAACTCTGAACTCCAGTTCAGCCTCACTGAAAACTGAAAAGCGTCAGAGGAGATATATTTCCACCAGGGAGGTTTGTTCTGTTCAGCAGGAGTCCTCCACCTGCCCTGAAGCTATCTGTGGTGACAGCAAAGGCTTTCAGGCAAGGACATGGACATGACTGATGAAAGCTGAATCTCTCTGACAAGTGTGAAAACATTTAGTGCTGTCCGTCGGCTAACTGGAATACTGAAATGTTGCTGTTATTGAGAGAACACTAACAGTACTCAGAAACATTTCTAATTAGTTAAAATATTAAAATTCACATTCTTCACCTCATTGCTCAGCAATTCTGCAGTTACGCTGCAAATACAGTATACTGTTATTGTTTCGGTCAATTAACACAGCAAGGTCTGTCGTGTGGCATCAGATGTGGCATTTTGGCTCCAACTCATTTATTATATCCAGACACACAGCTTGTCCCTCTAATGGCCATCCTCAGACCCCTGGGGGGTTCAGGCCTGCACTCAATGAGATCACATTCCCTACATCAACCAATTTGTTGACATATATGTTGTCAGACCAGCCTGGGAGGAGCAGCAGCATCGTGCTTCTTTGGAGTTTCTACAGATTCCTAAAAATGCTGTTAAAATTTGGACTGCATTATGCATCTTAGAAAACATACTGTGTGAACATGAGTGTGAACATTTGGCAACTGATGCTTTTGATCCCAGCAGCCTGTTTTAGCAGCGTTCATGCGGCTGCAGCCCTTACTGTCAGCCACCCAGTAAACCACAGTCACATACAGACAACCTTGGGAACGCTTGCACCAAATGTGATAATTAAAGGTTTACTACACTCTCTCTTAAGCAACCCCCAACCCCACCCCTTTCCAGCAGACACAAACACACACATGTTGTGTTTCGGCATAAGTGCATTGGTAATGACAGTGTAACTTTCTGCACCTTATCATATTACTTGCAAAACGGGAAAGCAGTCACAGTGAAAGTCATGATGTGGCATTCTACTGTCTGCGCTTGTTAATTTACATTTTGTTTAGAATTTCAGTTTACCCTGACATGACTTTGGCTGCATACTATATTATACAATATACTATATTATTTAATTCTCAATGTTGTGTATTGACTCCCAAAGCTTTTTAATACCTAAAGTCTGCTTATCAAGGTTGTATCAACGCTAGTGCCTTGGCTCTGAGGTTAGTCACATTTCTATGAAATTTGGTACTTGAATACATTTGTCTTTGGAGATTCCCCTTCTAGCGCCAACTTAAACTTTAGTAAAAACATCCGTAAAAACATTAACGAGCAGTAAGTTTGCTAATTGCATCTGTCTTTATATTGCTTGCATTAAGCTTTTTTTTTGCAACAATGTATATTTCAGATATTTCACAGGAAAATGTTTATTTCTTATTTTTTTCAGCAGTAGATTTAAATTGTTTCCAATTCTGTCATAATGCTTAGCAAAAAGGTGATCCAGCCATAAATAAACATTAACAATTTTTTTCCTTGAGGCACCTCAGAATGCCATGATGACCTCTTCATGCTGTGTAGTGCCATCAAGTGTGTTTTGCAAGAGCTTGCACTCTACTTTTGGAAAATATTGCAGTCACGCAACCTTGCATCTGTCAGTAGAGTTGCACAACACAGAGCTAATTAGCAAGTGTTTGAAATTTCCTCTATTTATTATGTACCAAGTTGTGAGTAAGTTGGTGTGTGGAATTTGGGACGCCGCTTTAATCATAGTTATGCAATACAGTCAGTGGCCTTTGATCATCTTCTTCATTTCCATCTTTTCATTTGCTCATTTAGTTACTTTCTTAATAAATACATGCTTCTCAGTTGGATTCCTGACACAGCAGCTTCAGTAAGGCCTGCGCTGGCCTCCAAAATTAATATTATTCCAAATTTGAGCATCCTCTTGCATTCAGCATGTGAGCAAAAGATTCTTATAGGCTTTGTTTGATTTACGTCATCATTTTGACTATTAATATCCTCACATCTCATTGTATAAAAAGTCTTTAAATAGAAAGTGTTCTTGTTTTGGGGGCATTAAAGTGATGTTTTTACACCTCCCATTAGTTGGTGAAGCTATGCAGCGGGATGATCGAGGCCGGCAGGGCCTATGTCAGCGCTAACAAGCTCTTTGTTAACGGCATCAGAGACCTGTCCCAGCAGTGCAAGAAAGAGGAGATGATATCGGTGAGTAGAAGCAAGGATATCTTCAACACGGAGTTCAGATTCACTGAGTAATATTTGAGTGCCAGCTTCTTAGCAACTGACTTCTCCTCTGTCTTTGACTTGGACATTCCTGCATGCATTCCTCCAGTTGTTGTGTGCATGGAAGAGGTGACCTGATTTGAACAGGAGACGTTTACACTAAAACTTTACATGCCTGCAAGCATATAGACCTGAAACTGACTTTATAGTTTTTTAGGAAGGCATTTGGTCTCTGTTTCCTGTGTAATGTGTACTCATGTATAGATAAGTTGTTATGTGAGAAAGATTTTGACGTTCATATGGAAATCCATGTTTACACTGTGCACTCTACATCACAGGAATGCCTTGAAAAGTGTGGCGAAAGCCTCCAAGAAATGGTCAATTACCACACGGTAAGACACATCTGCACACACACGCGCACAGACATACTGTATGTTGTAGCCACAGGTGAGAGGTTGAGGTACAGCCCAGGTCTTCTGACATATTAACATCTTTCAGGCATGCACAACTCTTACACACACACAACACTTCAACTGTGAAATCACTCAATGACTTTGAATCTGTCCACACTGGCCAGTGATTCAAACCACATGCTGGACCAGATGTGTATTGCAGGTTAATGCATAAACACACACATGCACACTCACACACTCACAGGTTTTCCCCACATGACTCCAGAGTGATTTCTCCTCATGACTAAGTGTGATCTCGAAATTTCTCACTCTATGAAAGGTTTCTCACACTGCTGAGATGATGATGCAGGTTTAAAAAGCCCAAGGCAGAAAGAGATATTACAGCACTTTAAAGTAATCAGCAGTAATCATTAGGACATGACAATATAAGACAGTGTGTAATATTCTGAGATGCTCACTCAAGTCCATGTTTATGCATTATGCACGCATGCATGACAAAATTAGGAACAAAGGAGAGTATTGACAATGAAGGGAAGTGGGGGAAGAAAATAAACACAGAATAAAAAAGGAAGTGACAAAGAGACACAAATGTAACAGATCTGAAGCTTTCTGTTTTTTATTCCACAGAGTGTGAGTTATCTCTTAGATAAATCTTCTTCAGTTGCATGGTTCTGTTATGATCTCCAACTTCACCTTTTTAAAGTCAAATCAAATCTCTGCTTATTACATAGGATCCATTAGCCACATCAGACCAATAATTTCCTCTTTTTTTTATAGACGCGGTGTACTCTTTTCCTTTCTATCCATTACAAGTTATGTAATGTCTGCAGTCCTTGCTTATATTACATAGAGCACCAATTTTATGAACGCTGTTTCTTTTCCACTGCCCTTTCACACCATCTCAATGCATCCTCTGTGACGCCTTTTTTCTTGCTTTCCCTTCATTCACCCTTCTAAAGAGTGTTTGTTTGGCAGATTTTGTGAATAAACAAGGGAAGGAAAAAATAAAGGATACATTTCTTTGCTAACTTACACTTCCCTGCATCTTATCTACTAACATAGTCCCACGGTTTGCTGTGCCGTCACCCTCATGGAGAAGCTTCAGTTCCCTGAAATATGAGAAGAGGACCAACAGCCATCTCTCTTACACATCCATCATGATGAGGATGATGTGAGGAAGAGATATGAGAAAGAGAATCAAGGAGATGTGTTAGCCTAATAAAAAGCAGCCTTAGTGTCTTTACTTAACCAATCAGTGCCTGTTCCTAAGGCTTTTCAGCTGTCGAGCATAAACAAGGGCATTCAAAAGAAAAACGGATCTCTCAGTAAATTATATAAGCAAATGTGTTTACATTCAAACATGGATCAGTCTCAGCAACAGATTAGGAAGCTTAAAAAAGTGAAACTGAGCAGATTTCTTTTTTTTTAAAAATATTGTCATTTGAGTACCTGTTGACAGCATTGTGCGATTTTCTATACTGTGATATATTTCTGTTGATGATCACCGTTCTTATTTGGCCACAAGCAAAAAAGAGCTTTGGCTTTCCATCCCAGGTACAAGAGGGATGGCTGATGGGGCACGGAGACACGGAGGATCTCTGAATTTCAAGAGAATTGCATGAGGAAATTGAGTGCTGACATCATGTAGGTTGGGCTGGGTCGAGCCCAAGGCATTATAATCAAGTGCAGGCCTGAGTGGAACATTTGGATTAGTTTCTATCAGATGTACAGAAATTGTTTTGGGTTTCATTTCTTACACCCCGTTTTGGAGACTGTCACTATTTTGCTCAACACAATTCAGCGTTGTGCCAGTGCAGTCTGATGACACATCATTTATTAAAAATTTTCTCAGGTAGTTTTCCATTTTCAGCATTTTAATGATGAATGCATGGTAGTACCTCCAAACAATCCCTGGTTCTGTCAAGGGCAGGAGACACAAATCCCCTTTGGGATTGCTTCAGAAAGGGCATTCGGCGTACATCCGGCCAAATCAAACATGCGCCCCCGCAGTGATGACCTCTTGTTAATAAGGGAGCAGGTGAAAGTAGCTTTCTTAAGCATGAATCCATGGTGTGAAAGGATTATACTTCATTTTATTGGGATTATGGGTTATTTCCTCACAATTTCTTAATGATTTATTTTAAATTGTTTATTAGTCACAGAGGGGAACTAGAGGATAATAGATTAATTTCAGTTTAGATTTCAGTTTAGTTAGTTGAGCTGAGTTTAAGGTAAATATTCTCAAAATATCTCGTCATTCTTAGAACAAACGTAATACTTTTATACATTATCTGCTGACTAAAATAATGTAGTCATTTAATTGTGGCTATTTATTGTTGCACTAATTAAACATTGATTGAAGTGTTTCCAGTGAAAGGAGACATGGGAGGAGTTGCAAAGTCTTTCCTCCTTATTTTAAGAATCCATTGCACAATACTTAAAAGACAGGCTCTGCGGGAAGTTCACACATGCTTATGAAGGAATAAATCATTCTATTGCTTGACGTTGTCCACTTCAAATTTCCACACTGAGCGTGCTCTACATTTGCAGAATGACAAGCCACCTCAAGCAAAAAATCGGAGTCTCATCCGCCGTGTGTTATCAGGCCCTGCAGAGATGTCATGTGGTTGGAGGCTTACATGTACACTAAGCCCATAATCCTCAATGTGTATGCTTGCAAACTAGGGATTGCTATAGAAAGTTTAATCCATAGGATACCAAAAGTGATTGTTGTGTACACTGTCCGCATGCGCGTGATTATAAAGCAATTACTGTAAGTCTCTGCGTCTGCGTGAGCTTGTGTGCACGTGTGTTGCACAAAGATAAATCAACAAGGCACACGGTTTCCTTAATATAGTCTAGGATAATATCAACAGCAGTGGCTGGAATATAAAAATGGAAACAAACTCACTTCCTATAGTGGAGAGAAGAGTTGGTTAAAATGCATGAGAAGTGGAGGAAAGAGAGCATGAGACAGTCAGGAAATGGAATCCCATACTTAACAGGAAGTAAAATGTGGGCTCAAATATTGCTAAAAATCTACTGAGGCGGTAGCTGAGTGTGTTCACGTGTGTGCTCGCTTTTCTCATTTCCTTCAGCTCCTCTCTGCTTGTGGCTGAAGCCGTTAAAGTAGTCACATGAAAGGGATCATAATGCCATCTTGTGCCCAGATCGGAGAACTACAGATTTTCAGCTGTATTCATTGCTTGCTCTTTAACTGCTGTGCACTGTATCTCACATGATATCTCTTCCTTCCATCTGCTCGCAGATTTTGTTTGACCAGGCTCAGAGGTCCATCAAACAGCAGCTTCACACCTTCATTAAAGAGTGAGTATCACATCACATTTGAGTAGACTTAAGCACTTAAGAAAGGTGAGGACAAGTGAACAAGATGTTAAACCACTAGCTATATGAAGACTAGATGTCTGTTTTTATAAGTAACTTCATGTTTTAAGATTTCTATCTAGTCCCTTAATTGTTGTGTTAAGTGTGCATTTTTGTACTCACATGCAGAAATCTCCCAATAATAACAGAAATTAAGAATTTCGATCTCACCGTTTCTGATTTGGCCAAAAATCTGTGAATTCTTACCTTTGTGCTTCATGGTGCTTGTACCAGGGATATACGGAAGTTCAAGGATACCAAGAAGCAGTTTGATCGAGTGCGTGAGGACATGGAGCTGGCGCAGGTGAAGAACGCGCAGGCACCCAGGAACAAGGTGCATGAGGCGGAGGAGGCGACGCAGGCTCTCATCCTCAGCCGCAAAGCTTTTCGGCACCTGGCCCTGGACTATGTGCTACAGGTGAGGCACACAGAACATAGACTCTACTTGTTATTACTAGTGTTTTCCAATAGGTGGCACTGTGAGTCAACTTCTGTTGAACCCATGCACAGACTCTTGATCTGCTCTCAGATCTCTCCTGTACGTCTAAAATGTAGAATTTTCTTTTTCTCTTCGTTTCTGGCAGATTAATGTGCTTCAAGCCAAGAAGAAGTTTGAAATCCTGGATGCAGTGAGTGACTCGGATCCATCTGTATCGTCACATAATTATACATATACAACATATATGTATACCTGTGCAGTGTGTTTTAACTTTGTCATTTGACTTCCTTTGTCTGCTACAGATGCTGTCATTCATGCGAGCCCAGTATACTTTGTTCCAACAAGGCTTTAACATCTTGGATGAGATTGACCCCTATATGAAAAAACTGGCTGCACAGGTAAACAAAACAAGCAAACCCAAAACATAATAACGAAACCATACCATGTGATTTCTAGTTTCATTGTCCTTTAATTTTACAAACATATTTTATTTTTCACTCACTGCTCCTGCTGCATATGTGATCTTGTCTTCTATGCAGCTAGATCAGCTGGTCATTGACTCGGCTGTGGAGAAGAGGGAGCTGGAGCACAAACACGCCCTCATCCAGCAGAGAGTGAGACACCATCACAGCTCTTATCTTTGAGCCCACATTGCCATAACAGTTCATCCCTGTGTCGTTTTCTTCCAAGGAAAACTAGGGCAACCTTACCGTCCACTTCTTATGCTTACTTTTCCCTGGACCAGCATCATTATGATGAAATAGGAGCAACACCAGCACAGGGATGTTAGATACACCGACTCAGGGACAAGCAGCCATCCACCGAGACCGCTTGAGGGTGATGAGACAAGAAACAAACTACTGGAGAGAGATCATTCGTAATGATGCTAATAGATCAGAATACAAAATAAACAGAATGCGTGGAGACTCTACATCATCTGTATTTTCATAAATACTAAAGCTTAGCCTTTTCACGACTATTTCCAGCTTCTCTTTTTGCAGCCACTGCACAGGTCTGTGCAGATTCTCCTGTAGCAGCATAGGAGGACTTGCACTGATAGTGAAATCTGAAGTGCTCATCAGATATTGTCTATGCTGACCAGAATGTTAGATATGTTTCCTTAAAGGTTGCTGAAAGGAATTTCTTTTTGTCATTTAGCATGACAGTCACCACCTAATTCAGTAGAAGTTCAATAAAAGAAAAGTGGTATGTAACTGGCAGCATTAAAATAACAAAGCGAAACAGATCTTACAGAGACCACAGATGCCTTCATGAGGAAAACAAAGCCTTGAACTATTTATGTTTGTTTAGTAAATGCCACTGTCCTGTTTACTGTCTAAGGTTTGCGAGACACTGATAGACGGCATTCTGCGTTTTGCGTTCAGGATTACAGTAAGAACAAGTCCCCTAAACATGCACGGCTCACTCCGCTGGAAGAAAAGCAACTCTTTAACCATCCCCACCCCCGCAGTAGCCACACACATGCACAGATGCATAAAAAAAATCATCCATCTGTTGCCAGAAGAAATGCCAAAAGCATGCCTGTTTTTCTGCCAGAGGCCCTTCCCTCCGGTCAATTTAGTTGCCCAGGGAAGGCATCCTGCCAGACTCGACGAACAGCTTTGTGCATGGATTAATGACCTTTCAGCAACTCGTCCTTTTTAATCCATAAAACGTGCATTGAATTGTGCCACTGGGCTTCATTTCTGATGGTTTTAGAAAAATAACGCTTCACGTGTAACATGCTGTAGTAGATCAAGAACAGCTGTTTTATGTGTATTTCTCAGGAGCTCTCTGATGTCGCCCGCTTGTGACACTCATCAGTTGCACATATTTATTCTTATTTAGTTTGTTCTGGTGAAATTAACGCAGTCATGTTCCTCCTCTAATGCATTTCTTCCCCCTCTCTCACTCTCTCTCTTCGCTGTGTCCTTGCTTGGCCTCTTCCTCACAGACTCTGATGCAGGTGAGTTTGTTTTTTGTTTTTTTTCTCTCGTCTGTACCTTAACCTTGGCTTACTGGTTAAAATGAACCACATATATGTTAATTTTTTTTTTTGATTTGGGTTTTAAAAGAAAAAAATGTGTGGAACATTGCAGTAATGGACGGTTCAAGAAACACAGACCTGCTTTGCAATTGTTAGCCCGTATTTTGACCGGGCCTGTTTGGCTCTAGGTGTCAGGTTTCTTGTGTCGACTGGTATAGGTTTTCAGCTGATCCTTGAAGTTTGTACTCTAGCTCTCAAGGGCACATTGTCTGGAAATTAAAAATAAAATGAAAGTAATCTCACTTTCCTGAAAACCTGTAAATTTTCCTGCCCCAGAAGATCTTTGTCTACCAGTCATTGTGTATGTGTAGCAGTGGTAGTAGTTGTTTCACCAGCTCGACTGATGCATAAATCAGTGTGCCTTTTTGTAAGCATAAAGCGAGACTGTGTTTGCGTGGGAGAGACGTTAACGTCAGTATTTGTCTGAAGGCGCTGACGCGTGTCACACCGATGTGCCCTTCTTGAAATTTCTAGCACAGACTTCCTCTTAAACAGTTTTTATAAGAGTGTAAGACTCTAAAATAAGTCACCAAAACAACACAGATTATTATATTCAATTGTTAAATAAATCATTACAGTCTGTGTGTAAAAATATCAAAGCGAAGTGGTGATGATCTGATGATCAAACATCTGTCTATCACCAACACAGTGCCAGCACTGTTTTTTGGAGCCAGCTCTGCCTTTTTGGTGTCTTTGCAGAACCAATCATCATTCTGACAGGTCAGAAAACCTAAAGTTACAACTGCCAGCTTACAGCCAAAGTCAACAGATGGCATTAAGATGCACAGCCGGGTCTTGAATGTGAAGGCAAGCAATGGAAAAAGATGAAGAGAGAAAAAAAAGTGAAAGATCCAGACAACAGGGCGAGACAGATGACGGAGGCCGTCTCTCTCAAAGAGGGAAAAACTCAAAGCTCTTTCAAATCAGATGTCTGGTCTTTCTCAGGAAGTGATTTTATCAAGAAAAAAACCTGTAGTTACACGAAGACAGAAAAAGCATCACTGCATCAAGAATTTAAAGAGAAAACACTGCCACGAGCCATTTCAATTTATTTTTCCCCACTGAACACTGACGTCTGTTGTTTCTGATATTCCTTCCATATGCAAATGTAGTAGTGTGGGAAGGGGCGCTATGAGACGGCAGAAGCTGTGAATTATAGATGCAATGCATTCTTTATTAACAGTAACTTCAGCACTCAGGGTAAAAATAAGACCGATTCATGGAAGTAGTTAAGCCTGCCTGCTTTATTTGCAGAGAAGTTAATAAGGGATGAGCACAGATAAATATATTAGTGTGGGGTTATGTGAAAGGGGCATTGTTGGCATTAGGATGAAGCAGAAACAGTAATCAGGTGATGAGTGAGAGACCATTTTAGCCATTGCATACTTACACAGTGGGTTCTTCTTCATTACCTCGCGCTTCCTTTGATTGCCCCGGCGGCTCCCTCCCCATCTCAGCCCGTCCTCCTGCACAGATCACACGCTCCCTCGTGCCTTTCTTTCACAGCAGCTCTTTTTTGTGTGTGTGTAGAACATCATTGTGGCTCCCTGGGGAACCAGGGCCTCAACTCTCTCCTCCTTCATTGTCACCACTTTTAACTGTACAACATTTTTAAATCAAGCAAACGCAAAAACACCAGAAAAAAACTAGGGTGTTTACTAAACATTTCCTTAACCGCCTTTATCAATAAATTGCCCAAACTATATTCATTTGTAACACGTTTGCTTGCAGCGTATTAGGATGAGGTATTTTTTCGTAATAATTTTCTGCTGACTGGTGACAACTGCCGAGGTGTCCCTGTGGTTGATGGTCCCAAACAGGCTCACGACCTTCCTGACAGAAAAGGCAGTTAAAAAAAACATATCTTCAGACTTCGTTTATCTAGTGACTGCTCAGGCTGGGCACCTGTAAAAGCAGTACTTTTCTGTAGGAGCTGCGTTACACAGGTGTTGTTTCAGCTCAGTGTGCGTTGCGTGTCTGTGGTGTGATGTGTTATTACTTAACATGAAGACAATTGCCTGGAATGTTATTCACTATATGCAAATTATCACATGCAGTTTACCTCCAAATGTATGGAAATGTTTCAACATGTCTTACACAGCCTTACTGGTATGTTGCCAAAATTGCATGTTCAGGGTCTCTTTTGTTATGCAGCCTCCTGTTCCTTTAAGCTACTTGTGCACTGCATTCTTGAACAGTCCTGGCTAATTGAAGGTTGTAAGACAGGAGGGGGCATAAATATTTGTATAAAGCTACGCATTATTCTGTGTGTTAGAATTAAGGGCTTCCTTTTGACTCGTAACACTTGTGACTTGTGACAGCTGCAGTGCTTCCAAACAAAAGGTGCTTTTAGGGGGGGAAAAGAGCTGTGTTGTTATTGTTATTGCACATCTTCAGTTTGTATAGCGACTGCTCAGGCTTGGCACCTTTAAAAAAAAAAAGTAAAAACTTCTTTGTAGGAATTGTTGTTAGACAGGTGCCGTTCCACTTCAGTGGGTGCCTTATTAAAGGGCTTTACCTGGAATTCACTATATGCAAATACTTGTATTTGTAATATACATATACATATGGAACTGGTTCAACATGTCTCATACAGCCTCACTGCTATGTTTTGGGCCCACTGTTTGACTCAGTGCCATTATGCAGCTCGATGCGTCTTTGGGCTACTTGTGCGCTACATTCTTGCATTACCCATTATCCTCAGCACATTTCCTGTTGTTTTATGATTTAAAACTAAATGCAAAAGCTGATGAATGAGCTCTTTTTAGTCTTCAAAGAGACACGTGGAGTAACATACAAAGTCTGACCAGCACAGGCCCATGGGCTCAGTGTCCTCCTAAGTCATGCTGGGTGCCGCAATTGCTGCAGAATCACTAAACTACTGTGAATGTAATAATAAAACTGAGCTTGCACTGCAATAACTTATCAGTGATTCAATTCAGATTATACTGTAAGGTAAAAACCCTAAAATATTAGAAAGAACAATCACACATTCCCCATGAGCAAGTACTTGGCGACCTTGGGAAGGAAAAGCTCCCTTTTAGCAGGAAGAAACCACTGATGGAACCACAGGAGCAGGGACTGGTTGGGTGTGAGAGGAAAGAGAAGAGCACAGAGGGAGGCAGCACAAAAGGCAAACTACTGGAGAGTCAGAGTTTAAGAATTGCTAATGATTAAATGCTGTAGTTAAAAGACAGAGTGACCAAGTGCATCATGGGAAGCCCCCAGCAGCAGAAGCTTATGTGTGTTTAAGTTTTTCATTACTAAATTGTATCAATTAGTGTAACTTATAATTGAAGCGTATCAGTAGAATTCAGCTGCGGGGTTCACAGTGACTTAATAGGGCAGTTTGGCTCAGTGGCGCTATGCAGCCTCCAGCGCCTTTGGGCTAGTCGCTGCATTCTTGCGCGGTCCCGGCTGATTTAAGGTGGGAAGAGGGTGCTCCGGGCTGGTGTTTGGGGAGCAATAATGTCAGCTTGATTAAGCAGGAAAAAGTTTTAGAGCTGCAGACAGATGGAAAACTAACTCCCACAGAAGACGCTGAAAGGGCAGCCTTAAATCGCGGGTGGGGCGGGGATGAGGTATGGCTACGTTTAGGGCCTCACATGCAGCAGGAAAATGAAACGTTTGATCTTCAGCAGGCGCTGCAGGGGTCATCCCCGCGGGGCGCGAGGACACGGTGACAGCTGTATGCTAATGTGCGCCCGCGCCGGGTCCACGCGGCCGGAGGAGCGGCACGAGCCTGTCGCTGTTCCTCTTTGACAGTGTGTGTCTGGACTCGCATGAGGAGCACATTTGTCTCCTTTATCATCATTTATTTATGAATTTAAGCTTTTATTTTCCTGTCGACATCGTAATGCTGCTGGATGTCAATGTGATAAAGATGAAGATACTTGGCATGCTGAGCTACACGCTGGTGAGCTTTTATTTATTTATTTAACCTGAAGTTTTGATGAGAGCTTCTGTTCGACTCTTGTACGCTGTGTTCCTTTTTCCATTGGTGAACAGACAACAGGTTTAAAAGTTTAAAATGCAACAATTAGCTGCATGAGGGAAAACTGGAGTTAAGGGAAATGCCAACACGGGTGTTCCTCCAAATGTTCTTCTGTCTTTTATTCTGTAAAGTTGGTGCAAAAACGCCCAGTTGGAGAGCCTACAACTAGCCTGCTGCTCTCCAGCAAATGTTGCGCATAAGTGGCTCTTGAATCACTTGGAAACACCTCCAGGTGTTTGGCCGGTGGAGAACCAAGCTGTTGTACCACATCACATCATGTTTTTGCTTTCTAGGGCCTGCATGTTTTGGAAGAATTGTTGCTGAAGAATTTTGTGTTATTATAGTACCTCCGTGTCACATGGCAGTTCACCTACTTATCTTATGTCTGAATCCGTTCGTTTCAGTGAATGGGAGGTGACTTTGTGGCAAGGAATCAGTGAAAAGGCTTTTATGCTTTTAACAAAGCTAAAGGAAAGTGGAAAATTACAGGGTTTCCCTGAGTAGAAAGTATGTGTGCCTACTAGTCTGCCATATGTTTAGTACTCCCTCAGATCAAAGTGTCACCTAAGATAAGCAAACCTGAGCCTCGGCTCTCATTTCACAATCTGTGTGCTTTTGTTCTTCACTTCGCTGAACAGGTGGCATCTGACTTTAGAGACCCTTCTTGGCTAATCTTAGATATACAAATAGGTACAAAAGGTTTAGCTGAATGGTCGAGAAATCCTGACACAATCTTTAAATGTAAACTAATCGTGTTGTAGAGAGGACACTGATTATTGAGGAGGCACGGCTATTGTATGAGCCCGCGATAAGGTTACGCAGACATTTGTTGTGGACTTTACGCTCATTGTTTCACACAAATAATTACTTCATATGTTCTCTTCACAGGATTTTTCCTATGATGACCCTAAGCTGGAATTCAATGTGGATGCACCCAATGGTGTGGTTATGGAGGGCTACCTCTTTAAGAGGGCCAGCAATGCATTCAAGACCTGGAATAGGTAAAATGGAAAGTTACGATATATAACAAAATAGAATCGAGGTTAGCTTACAAATCAGCCATAACCTGTTCATATGGAAAATACACTAATGTGACAAGATGGGGGTAAAAAGCTCATCTTTCTAACTTTATTGCCTGTGAGCTCTCAGATTTCTATGTAGAATAACTGAAGAAGGAATGTGCTTTGTTGAGCTCTACTAAGTTAGTCGATTTCATTCCATTGGTTCAGTACTGAAAGTAGACTTCAGCATTTGAGTCAGCCTATCTCTGTCACTCTAACAATCTGATTTCATACCTTCAACCCCCTCTAGGCGGTGGTTTTCTATACAAAACAGCCAGCTGGTCTACCAAAAGAAACTCAAGGTACACTTTAATTTTGTAAATGTAAATCTACCGTTTTGGGGTCCTTATGCTAGGATTTTGTCACCACTCTAGCTAACCTACACAGTTTAGAGTTCTGAATTCTATTTGCCACCATTTGTATAATAGCAGGTCAACCAGTGTCTTGTCTTTCCTGTCGATCCTGTCACTAAGCTTTGTTTTTCTGGCACTCCCCTTTTTCAATGGCAGGATTCTTTGACAGTGGTTGTTGAGGATTTGAGGTTGTGCTCAGTCAAACCATGTGAAGATAATGAGAGGCGGTTCTGCTTTGAGGTGGTTTCACCCACTAAGTAAGTGTGTGTATTTCACTCCAGAATAAGCTCAACTTTATTTTTTTTCAGATTGCAACAGACTTAAGCTAAAATATTAAACAGATAAAGATGTTTATAACTAGTTTCTATAAACCTTTAGGAGCTGCATGCTGCAGGCTGAGTCTGAGAAGCTGAGGCAGGCATGGATCCAGGCTGTCCAGGCAAGCATCGCTTCTGCTTACAAGGACATCACCGACAATTATTACATCGAGGTGAAAACAAACACATAACCCAATACAATAACACTTACACAATCCTGTAATGCAAGCCTTTATTTTTCCTTAGATTTGATCAAGTCTCCATCGCTAACTTGTAACTCCATCTTCACAGCGATTGGACCGGACTGCCTCACCCTCCACCAGCAGCATTGACTCTGCCAGTGAACCCAGAGAGAGAGGAGAGAGGGCTGATAAGGGAGTTCGGGGAGGAGGAGAAAGCCTCCTCCAGCGGGTGCAGAGCCTGCCAGGCAATGAGCTGTGCAGTGACTGTGGCCAAACGGCTCCCTGCTGGGCTTCTATCAACCTGGGAGTGCTGCTCTGCATTGAGTGCTCAGGGATCCACAGGTGACTGTACACTAAGGGCTGCAGTTATTGTGCAACAATCACACAGACCCTGTGGACTGTAAATCTTTTAAAGACACCGAAATACATGATGTAGGAGGCAGTCAAAATTAACAAGAAGTGAGCCATTTATTTTGGCTGACTTCCAACAGGTGAAGCCACAAAGGGGAGCTCACGCAAGCAAACAAACTGAATACACAGACAGCATGACAAAGAACATAGATGAGACTAAGGCTATAAGTAAACAGAAATTCAAACATATAATGAAGGTCTAAAAAGAAATTAGGAGCTCAGAAGTATACTAACACAATCTAAATGATTGACCCCATCCTCATTCCCCTGCTAGGTTGCACTCACACAACCCTCAATAACCTTATACAGAGCATTACATTCATAACTTTTTTCTAGTTTGTGACTACATTGTAGAAGTGGTGACACACGTCTGCTCACATATTTATTTGATTACTTAACTTGTTATTGAGGAAGCGTTGGAGAACGGTTTTGAGCATGGGTGACAATCATACCACATGCATACGTGGTCAAATCAAACTGAATGCCTGCAGTGAACAAACTGGACTTTAAACCTGCTTTGTCAGTTTGTTTTCTCTGGTGAGTTTTTCTTGATTGCCCAACCTTAAAATGAAACTGTCCTAGTTTAGTAAGGCTATTTACAAAAAAAAGATGTTCCTTTCCAGAGAAGAGAACAACACGTCACATGTGACTGACATTTGCCCTGCTTCTGCTTGTTTTTAACACATGCCTGTTTAATCTTCTGCATTCAAGCATCCCGTTACAGTCACGTCCACACAAGTGTATCAGTTCTTTTTTGATATGTCAAACTTTCCATCATGTACAGTGGGGCAAAAAAGTATTTAGTCAGCCACCGATTGTGCAAGTTCCCCCACCTAAAATGATGACAGAGGTCAGTAATTTGCACCAGAGGTACATTTCAACTGTGAGAGACAGAATGTGAAAAAAAAAAATCCATGAATCCACATGGTAGGATTTGTAAAGAATTTATTCGTAAATCAGGGTGGAAAATAAGTATTTGGTCAATAACAAAAATACAACTCAATACTTTGTAACATAACCTTTGTTGGCAATAACAGAGGTCAAACGTTTACTATAGGTCTTTACCAGGTTTGCACACACAGTAGCTGGTATTTTGGCCCATTCCTCCGTGCAGATCTTCTCGAGAGCAGTGATGTTTTGGGGCTGTCGCCGAGCAACACGGACTTTCAACTCCCGCCACAGATTTTCTATGGGGTTGAGGTCTGGAGACTGGCTAGGCCACTCCAGGACTTTCAAATGCTTCTTACGGAGCCACTCCTTTGTTGCCCGGGCGGTGTGTTTTGGATCATTGTCATGTTGGAAGACACAGCCTCGTTTCATCTTCAAAGTTCTCACTGATGGAAGGAGGTTTTGGCTCAAAATCTCACGATACATGGCCCCATTCATTCTGTCCTTAACACGGATCAGTCGTCCTGTCCCCTTGGCAGAAAAACAGCCCCATAGCATGATGTTTCCACCCCCATGCTTCACAGTAGGTATGGTGTTCTTGGGATGCAACTCAGTATTCTTCTTCCTCCAAACACGACGAGTTGAGTTTATACCAAAAAGTTCTACTTTGGTTTCATCTGACCACATGACATTCTCCCAATCCTCTGCTGTATCATCCATGTGCTCTCTGGCAAACTTCAGACGGGCCTGGACATGCACTGGCTTCAGCAGCGGAACACGTCTGGCACTGCGGGATTTGATTCCCTGCCGTTGTAGTGTGTTACTGATGGTGACCGTTGTTACTTTGGTCCCAGCTCTCTGCAGGTCATTCACCAGGTCCCCCCGTGTGGTTCTGGGATCTTTGCTCACCGTTCTCATGATCATTTTGACCCCACGGGATGAGATCTTGCGTGGAGCCCCAGATCGAGGGAGATTATCAGTGGTCTTGTATGTCTTCCATTTTCTGATGATTGCTCCCACTGTTGATTTTTTCACACCAAGCTGCTTGCCTATTGTAGATTCACTCTTCCCAGTCTGGTGCAGGTCTACAATACTTTTCCTGGTGTCCTTCGAAAGCTCTTTGGTCTTGGCCATGGCGGAGTTTGGAGTCTGACTGTTTGAGGCTGTGGACAGGTGTCTTTTATACAGATGATGAGTTCAAACAGGTGCCATTCATACAGGTAACGAGTGGGGGACAGAAAAGCTTCTTACAGAAGACGTTACAGGTCTGTGAGAGTCAGAGATTTTCCTTGTTTGAGGTGACCAAATACTTATTTTCCACCCTGATTTACGAATAAATTCTTTACAAATCCTACCATGTGGATTCATGGATTTTTTTTTTTTTTCCACATTCTGTCTCTCACAGTTGAAGTGTACCTCTGGTGCAAATTACTGACCTCTGTCATCATTTTAAGTGGGGGAACTTGCACAATCGGTGGCTGACTAAATACTTTTTTGCCCCACTGTAGCCTTATCAGTCAAAACTGTATCCATAAAAAGGCTGGCTGCACTAGAATTAAAATTAAATAAATGTATATGTAATACTAATAAGAAAAAAAGCACAAATCTATGGTTTTTCATACTGGATTTGTCACGTTTGTGTATATTTTAAGTAATAAGACAATACTGTTTTTACTCCAGGGTCTTATGAGCATAGCTTCAGACATCTGCCGCCCCAAGCAGTTTAAATAAAAGTAGCAAAAGTAAGATTGTGCTAAGTTCTTCCAGTTGGATAAAAACTCTTTTTAAAGTCTCTTTTTCTTGTTTCTTTCAGGAGTTTAGGGGTCCATTTCTCTAAAGTGCGTTCACTGACGTTAGACTCGTGGGAGCCAGAATTACTTAAGGTGCGCCTTCTTAACGCTTTGCCTACAGCTCATCTTCCCTCTGCCATGCTTTTTCCTCCCAGCAGAGTTACACGTCTTATTCCTTTAGTTCATTGCTAATGCAATTTTAATTAGCCCTTTTAAAAAAATGTTCACTTTCCGTGTTGTCTCTCTCATGTTTGTTCTCTCATCTTATATTTAGCTGATGTGTGAATTGGGGAATACTGTGATCAACCAGATTTATGAGGGATCCTGTGAAGAACTCGGAGCAAAAAAACCAGGCCCCTCCAGTTCAAGGTCAGTTTCTATCCAGCAGAGTAATTTTTCCAAGACTCTAAAGATACCTTTTACCTTCTTTCTTATGATCATTTACCTCCAGACAGGAGAAAGAGGCCTGGATCAAATCTAAATACGTGGAGAAACGCTTCCTGAAGAAGATGAGTGGCAGCGAAGCGCTCGTGCAAGGTGAAAGGAAGTCCCGCCCTTGGACAGTGAAGAAATGCCAGCGACACAACAGCTCTGTTCGGGCACCCAACAAGGCTCGTAGGAAATATCACCGATATGAACCTGGCAGCGCCTCGCCGGCAAACCTCTCAGCAGGTCAGTGTGGGGACTTGTGATGTGGTGATAAAACCAAACACACTGTGAAGCCCAGACTGAGCTCTTGTTCTGATCTTTTATTCTCCTGCAGCAGCTGCAGCAAAGTTTCGCCGGGACTCGCTGTTCTGTCCAGATGAGTTGGACTCATTATTTTCCTACTTTGACACTGGCTCTGGTCCTCGCAGTAAGTCCACTACACAATGTGTTGATACAGTGCATTGTTATTGTAGACTTTAGAGAAGATTTTAGGTAAAGGCTCCACAGTGAAACAAAATAACTCAGAAACTGAAGTTCTTATAGCAGTTTTCCACATATTTGTGATTTCCTGAGCAATCTAACCGATAACGTGTCTTTATGTAATGCAGTTTGTGCCAAGTAATGATTAACGTGTCCGTGGCTTGGCAATGCTTGGCCCTGCAGGTCTCAGTAGCGACAGCGGCCTGGGAGGAAGTACTGACGGGAGCACAGACGTCCTGGCCTTTGGCTCAGTGGTGGACAGTGTAACAGAGGAAGGTACGTGTGCTTGTGGGCTCTGTGCCACCAGTGTAAGTAGCTACAATTTAAATTAAATCGTGTTACATGTACTTATATTGTCGCTCATTCTCATGTTAAATTATTCACACACAGAAGAGGAGTCAGAGGAGTCCTCCAGTGGTGAGGTGGAAATTGAACAGGAAGTATCCTCAGACCCTGAAGACCCAAGAGAACTCCACCCTGGCGCGCTCCTATACCGATCCTCCCGACTCCACAACTTGCCGCTCATGGCGGAGGCTTTGGCACACGGTGCTGACGTACACGCCGCTTGCGAGGAAGAGGAGGGAAAAACGCCACTCATTCAGGCTGTGATAGGGGTGAGACGCTCTGTAATAAACATGTGTGGGTGTTTTGGTTTGGATAAAGTGATGTGGATGTAAATGAATAATTTCATTTATTAAATTAAGTTTATCTGTTTAATTGTTAAGTGACTTCAGACCAGTGCCCTTGATGTCAAATGTCATGAAGGTGCTGGAGAAACTGGTTCTTGCCGGCTTTGCTTGCAGGTGACACATGCTCTCCACCCTTTTAAGCCAGTTTCTGTTGAGGGTGGATATCTACATGCTGCTGCATGTCTCTCCCACCTGGATAGTATGGATGGTACTATTGGCATTATGAGAGAATTGTGGGGTTTGGGGGATTTGTTTTTTTTCCCTCCACATCTTTAATACCATCCAACCACTTCTAAGTGAGAAGCTGCTCAGAATGGGTGTCACCACTTCTACTGTTCTGTCAGAGTGGCTTCAGTTTGCACAGCTGGTGTGGTGGTTTGTAATACTCAGGCATCACAGGGGACAGTCCTGTCTCCATTCCTGTTTACTTTGTTCACCGCAGGTTTCTAGTACAACAGTGAAACATGCCACATGCAGAAGCTTTCTGACACTGCAGTAGTTGGAAATCACCTCCTCCTTCTCAATGTTAGCAAGACAAAAGAAATGGTGTTTGACTTCCGGAGGGAAAAAAAATTGTAATTAGGCCCATTAACATCATGGGTGGAGAGTTAATTCACATCATTGGCCAGAATCTGGAGGGCATTTGAGTCATCAGCTCTCCTCCACACTACAGAGGCAGCACAGCTCCTTCTCCCTCAGACTTATTCAACCCCTTCATATGCGCCTTTTCAGGCAATCATTCCTACCGTTCTCAGTGAAACTGTACAATAACTCTTCTTGACAGGTGAACATGTTTGTCAGGCACAAGATACTGCACACATATTTCTGCATTATACCTTCTTGAAGGTGTTTCTTGAGTTTAAAATATCCATATTATTTATTAATGCAATTTATACTGCTCCATTACACTCTTTAAAAAAAAAAAAAACCTTCTTTAAATTAACCTCATTTTTATTTCACTTTTTTATTTGTGTTGTTTTTTTGTTTTTTTTATCACTGTTGGGTGTGTATATAGTGCAAACTTTCTATCTCACAATATAAGACCCTCACTATGCGGCAGTGGCACTTTTACTATGTTGTGTATTTATTATAGATTGTGCTTTTATTGTAATTTTTTATCCTGCTGCTGTAACACAATAATTTCTCTGTTGGGATAAAGAAAATCTTTTTTATCTGGACTGTCTACATTAAAAAAACATCTGCAGTCATAAACGATTAAAAACAAGAAAGACTCTCCACGTAAATGCATCGTCTGCCATTATGAACACTGTAGACTTGAAATTCTCCATCTGTCTCTTTGTTAGGGCTCCTTGATAGCTTGTGAGTTCTTGCTACAGAATGGGGCCGATGTGAACCAGAGGGACATGAGAGGCAGAGGCCCACTGCACCATGCAACCGACCTGGGGCACACTGGGTAAGAGAGACATGGAAGTAATAAGCTGTGTCTGATAATCATTGTGTTCTAGCCTGTGTATAATGTCATGAAATGTGGAAATTATTAGGTAAAAGCTACTTTCAGCTGCTCCCTTCCCACAAAGTGGTTACCACAGCAGGTGGCTCCCTGTGTTTGAGTTTTGCGCCAGACGTAGTCCCAAAGGGGATTTATGTCTCCAGCTAGAATTGAACCACCTTTTCTCTTGCCAGGCGAATGTGTAAACCATTGTTGGTACACCTAATATTAATGTACCAACAGCAGTGAATACCTTTTGTTTTGAATGTTAAGGAATGCATGAAGTAATCTTTCCCTATAACAAAACTGCCTAACCAGTTTTGATAATCATATTATTCTTTGACACTCTATGTTGTTTTAACCAGGAAAAACTACAGGAAGTGTCACTGTTAAAAAAAAAAAAACGCACACAAAAGTCTTCCTCTGGTATGCAGTATAATCCCACGTGATACTTGCCATCACGAGTAACTCATTGCTTTAAAGTATTTGAAGTATTCACATTTGAAACTGCTTAAACTGGAGCTATACGTTCAGACTAAAGTATGGAGCACAGAGATAAACTAAAAGGCATCAGTGAATACCACATCAGTAAGTCATCATGTGTGCATTCCACAAAATCTGCCATGTCACTATTGCTATTGTGGACCATATTTTATTTTTTGACTCTGCTAGGGTGGCATTAAAAACAATCCTTCTTTATTGTACTGCCTGAAACAAGCTGTTATAGCTTCTCTTCTTTTAAGCCAAGCTTCTTGTCATTGGTTACCCTTAATAAACAGATGTTTTGAACAGCAAATAGGTGGAGATATTCCTAACATGATGTGCTTGACATGATCATAATGGGGATATCCACTTTATGATACCATTCAGAGCCTTTGGTGATGTCTTATATAAGAATCAGACAGGAAACGAGGGAATGGGGCGCAGCAAATGCCCACAAGTGAGACTGGGACCCAGGCTGCTACACTTTAGCCTTATAGCATGTGGTCAACCAGTGAGCAAAACTGGGACCCTGTAGGGTAAAGAAATTTTTTTTGTCTTCCCATCTTTGTTTGTACAGCCAGGTGTGTCTGTTCCTGAAAAGAGGAGCATCACAAACAGAGGTGGATGAACAGGGCCATGATCCTTTAAGCATCGCTGTCCAGGCTGCCAATGCAGACATCGTCACCCTGTAAGACACTCTGTGTAATAGTAGCTGATCTGGAAGAACATGTATTACTTCATGGTTTTGCTGAACAAGCAACTAACCTGGCAAAACTTTAACAATTTAAATGCAGTCAGCTGAATTTTTTTCTCTCTGTGGACCATATGTTTGTCTTTTGTGGTATTGATCCATGCTTTAATCCATGTGACTAAAAGAATTACTTGCACCAGATTGTTATTCCACTTGTAAGCACTGCGGATAAACAGTTAAAAAATAGTTTAAATCTTTATAATGTTATTATGAAAGCTTGTGTATCCATCATTGGTGGCAAAGTCATAACAGTTCTTTTCTTACCTTCCTCCCTCCTCTCACCCTTACCTTATTTTCTCACCTTCTATCATCTCCCTTTGTCCTGCCTCGCTCCTTCCCACTCCTGTCCTCCAGGTTGCGTCTAGCTCGGATGAATGAAGAGATGCGAGAGGCAGAGGCGGCTCCGCTGGGTCAACCAGGTCAATACCCCACAAGCAGTCCCACTGAGCAGCAGTATAGGAAGTGCATCCAGGAATTCATCTGTCTCAACATAGACGAATGCTAGTGGTCACTTCTGTACCGTGGAGCAAAGCCTGTGCTCTATTTATAAATCTTCCTCCTGACTGAGAAAATAACATATTCATGTAAAAGCTGCCCCTACACCCTGATCACAAGTCTGTTACTTCCCCTAGATCTAAGCCTGCAGGCAACTTCTGATAAGCTGGGTGTCTGAATACAGAGTGACTATTGGATGCTTCGAGTCATAGGGAGCATCCCCGTGATGGACCTTTCTAACTCTACTGACTATCCAGTCACCTTCACCATCTTCCTGCTTCGCCACTATGTTTCTGCTTACCATTACTTGGCACTACCAATCCTAGCTACACAACACAGCCAGTAAAATGACATCAGCTTTCTTGGTGTTTCGCTAACAGGGTTATGCTCTAACTTCATTACATGGTGTGACCTCCTGTATGAGGGTGTGGGTGTTTTTATTTTTGTTGCCTAACAGCTCTTACCTCAGAAGAATCTCGCTGCATTAATCCTGTACACTTTATATCTATCCAGACCATCTGTGTGACATCCAATGTACCCATCTCTCCTTCATCAGAGATGTAAATATGCATATTTAGAAGTTTAGAAACTGTGTACTGTGGCATGAGGTAAAACAATATGGTATTTGTTCCAGTAACTTAAAAGAAAAAGAGTAACTGACAAGCTGCAGTAGAGGTGGGCAGGATAGTTTTACTGTGTATAAAAAGGGGGGTCGGGAAGGAAGAAGTGAAACTGTGACAAAAATGTTGAAGGGCTTGTGGGGAAGAGACCCTCGCCTGCTTTGTAAGATACTTTGTGTCGTCATGAGTGAGTGAGTGAACAGGAGAGTGCATGTGTTAAAGAATACTGAGAGACAGTTAAATAATATGTAAAGGAAAAAAAAGACTCTGCACTTTTCCCATATACAGAATTATCATTTAGCTTTTACATTGTTCTTGTCTAGTCAAGTTGTTGTCGATTTATTGTCTATTTTAATGATGTCTTTTTTATTTATCTTTCCAGAGGACCAGTGCAATGCATTATTGAATGCAGTTTTATATCAGCATTTCTGTTAATGATTGTCATTTCAATCTAAAATCCTTATTCAGAATTTATGATGGAGGTCTTTAGATATATTTTACATTAACAGCAGTCAGAAAACTTTCAAATGGCCTTAGATTACAGAGTACTTTTGTCTTGGCAGTAAAACGTGCCACTTCTCATTAGGTTATGCAAACACATCAATGGAACTTCTGATTTGAGCAATAACTGCCAATAGTTCAGAGCAGTGAGAACATGCAGAAATGTAAAATTGCATCATGTTATTCACTTCCATTTATAGAACATAAAACTAAAAAGCTCTTCAGCTTCCTGGCAATGGTAATATTACAGGAAAGTATTCGTGTTATGTTGAAATTATGGAGTATATTTAATCTTTTAAAAACTCGTGTCGTGACAGGACTAGCATATCTACGTCAATGCTAAGAATATCCTCTGTATGCTTTGCTAGATTTTTGGGAAGTTTGACCTTTGCATCTTGAGCATGATGAATATTTTTTCTATAATTTGATCACTTTGTGCAGTGCAGTCCTGTCAAAAAAAGCATGTACCGATATGACCTCTCTGGTGTCAGAAGTTTCTTCCTTTTTCCACCTCTGTGCCATTGTTTCATCCACACACGAATCTGTGGTGACTTTTCTTCTTTTCATTTCTTTCATTTTTTTATACTGTGCTTTTATTTTCCTCTGCCAAAGACTTTTTTTTTTTTTTAAGGGAAAGTGTCTGACACTGTTGTATAACATCATGTTAAAAAAAGGAAAAAAAGAAGAATTGTTTTGGGTATATACAGGATACTCTTACCATCCTTTCTGAGTTGTGAGAGTGGTAGAAACACTGTTGGTGCTCACATGTTCAGAAGATGTGACTTACCTGATAGATACAATAGTTCAATGTACTGCAAGTAGAACCAGTCTCGGGGGGTGATGTGAAGCTACTGTGACCAAACTGTTAAGAGCTGTCGCCCTCGCGGAAGTATTAAATGTTGTGTCCATTTGTGTGTAGTATTGGCTTAAGAGTGGTTAAAGGCGCAAACATGCTGTATATAGTACACTTGCATATTTTAACTTAATGCTAACTTCCTGCCTCTCAGCATTCGGTCACAGATTCTGTTTAATGTTTGTTTTTTCATTGTCTTTGAAAAACAGCCGGTCGGGTAGAACTGTGACACGGTTCTGAATTACTTGCGGGGGTTCTTCTGTTTACTGGCATTTGGATATCTTTGGAATACTCCCTTCCATGTCTTTAGAAGCACTAAGGGGAAAAACAAAATACATACAATAAAACTGAGAAACTGAAATGGATCTGTTAACCCAGCTGCCTGCTTCTTATTCTCATTGCTGTTCCCTCTCTCATCTTTTCTGTCTAACATTCTCCCAGCATTCTTTTTCCAGATGATAGCTGCTCTAATTATTGAATAATAATAAATACGGCAGTGGTTGTAATCCATAGATATAGCCAGATGCTGGGAGAGTGCTATTTTACAGAATACTCTGGTGTGTCTTTGGTGATTCACAAACTTTTGGTAGCACTTGGCTTATTCAAAGCAATAAACCAATTAGTCTCATGTTGTGAAATATCACTGAGGTGTACACAGACTCTACTATTTAAGAATAACTTAAGCATTCAGAGTCTTATGGGTATTAAAACAGTGCTTCATCTGCTTGCCCACAGCAGCAACACCGTGCCTTGAATAATTCAGTGTCTCCAGTGTGTAAAACATGTATGTGCTCTCACAAGCATATGTCACACCATCCCTGAATAAAATGTCCTCTCTAATTCCTTTAATTTAACACTAAAGACAAATGACACATGTCCACTTGAGGAAATAACCACTGACTGACATATCATTGCTTCTGTTACCACAGGACGTACCCCGAGCAGCAGGAGAGTAAAACCTAAGGATGTTCGGGATAGAGTGAGTGAAGCATCCTGGGCTGTCTTGCTGTGGCACACTAGCGTGATACTATGATTTTTCCTGCTCTGGTGGTTGCGCTTTAACTTGAGGTTCTTGCTCTGTGGCCCTCCCCCCCTCCTATTTTTATGGATAAGCTTGGAAAACATTTGCTGTGATAATGCTGCCAGTCTTTTCCCTTTCTTATAAATGAGGCACAGGAACATTGCCTTAAGGAGGATGTGCCAAGATGGCTACAATACAGTATTTATACAGTTAAACTGTAGTTTTGACTGAATTCAATGAGAGTTGGTAAGTTAAAAAAAAATGAATGAACAGGATGCTCACCACTACTTCCCTTTAAATTCCACACTTGCTATTAAGTATCCAGGAATCCCATTTAAGAGGAAATAAGGTTTTTTACTTGTACGCCCCATGAGGCTTGGGAGCAACGCAAAAATATGAGGCTGCGGGCACTTTTCTCTTTCGTGGGTATGCAAAGCAAACATTGATCTGATCTTTCTTCCTTATAATCTTGCTTATATACAGTACTGTACAAAAGGCTTGAGTCACCAATTGTTTCTTAATTTGCTTCTAATAAGCCAGACTTTTGTTATTTTAAAAAATGTGGTCAATAGTTCAAAGTTTATCAGCTGCTTTTTCACTGAACTTTACTCCAGTCTTTGTGCCTCACAATTTCCATTCATTCAAGTATAAAAATGCTTCTGACTTCAGGGATGTGCCAGGCTCGTCTTAACAAACAACTTGCCAAACAACTGGTTTTAAATGTTATTTTTAGTCACCGTGTTTCTGATAAATGGTCAACAGCATTTGTTGTAGATAAAACATTATTTTTGTACCAATGAGTTGATTCCTAAATATTAGCTGAAAACTTAACATATGTCCACGTGGCTTTCAGCATGCGCTTAAAATGTTGAGGAAAGGGGACAAGAAAGGATTTGAAAAAAACAGATGAACAGGATCTGAAAGTCATGTGCTTAAGAAACAGGTTAGAAATACAGCATAGACCTGGCACAGGCTCTGAGATATGCACCTGACCCTTCATTTGATCCCTCTACTGTTGACTGAAGCCTCACAGAAATTGTCTCAGTGCAAGGGTAGCTAGATTCTTAGGAAAGGGAAACGGCTAAAGAAGAATGACATACGCCAAATATACAAGAATTGGACTAAAAATCAGTGGCGACATTTTTGAAGGAGTAATGAATTCAAATTTTATATTTTTAGTTGGTGTCAGTGAGTGTCTACAGCATTGTCATGGTTGGATTTTGACCCACCATATAATGATGACAGCTTCATTTTTAATGATTACAATGATCCCGACCACACTTCCAAAGCATTGCTAGATAGAAAAACTCACAATGAAACAGTATCAGGCATAGATTCGTGTTACCAAAAGAAAAAGAAATGAGTGGTGTCTCAAGAGTTTTTTCACAGTAGTGTATCGCATATTCTAAAAGAAGGTTGGTAATTCTCCATGGTGCCCTGCAGTGGGACAAATCCTTGACTTCAGTGTCCACTGTTTCAGGTGACATCTCCTGCACTGATGTCTTTCGCGAGTTTTCTCTCCTCGCGTCTCTCCAGCCTGAAAAGTTGAGAAGAAGGAGCTTACAGTTCAGCAGCTGTAAGAAGCCAAAGTGATCACTGCTGACCCCTCACTTCATCCGACCTCTCTTCAGTCACTTTGGAATCAGGCAGGAGACTGCTGCGTTCGATTAGAAGACACGTTGGTCCGCCGAAGTGAATGCTCTGGGAATGAAAAAAGAAAAGTCAAATTCCAGTAGGCACAAGTTAAAACTACAGCAGACTTGTAATAGTTGTAATATTCTCTCGTAAATAAACTTGGTCAAAGACAAACAGTTCTATTGCACTGATGTTTTAGCTGACTTACTCCAGTTTTGATAATGTTAGTCATCCAGCAGAGCTGACATTAACATTTGATGACCTTTAGACATATAACAACAAAACAATTCTCAACCTGTCCAACTAATATTGCATAGGGCCCCATTACAAAGTAAACTCAACCTTGGACCTGTCTGAGCATGAACAATGGGACCTGGAGCTTGAGTTGGATAGGACATCATGTAGATGCATCATCAGATTGGAATCTGGGGAGCCTGGAGGTTCGATCACTGTTCCTATTTCGGTTAACGGGAAGTACAATTTCTTTATGTGCAACAGTTTTTGGACAGATGGTCATATGTGCAAGGAATGTCCTCATGACTCTCAGGACCCGAGTTCTCCCCGGAGAACAGTGCAATGTAAGAGGTGATGATTGTTATTTACTGTAATTTTGAAAAAAAAAAAAAATCTCAGGAAGCAGTTGAGCTTCCCAAACTGTGGGTCTCACACCCACACCAACAAAATTAAAAAAAAAAAAAAAAAAAAACACAGATAAAATAATCCGGGTTTGACTGTGTTTGCTAATGCTTATGCAAATATTTCCACGGGCTTAATGACGCTCTCTATGATGAGTAAATGAAACTTGACCTTTAAATTAAGTGAACTAATCCTTTAACATTTCTTCAGCATTTGTGATGAAATTTCTGATAAAATGATTTTAAGTGTTTTGTAACTGATGGCAGAAGTCAAATAAAAAAATCTACTGAAATTATTAAAGGTCTTGTGGAATGTTTTAGCGGACTAAACAATGGTTGTTGTTTAGTCCGTGTTTTGTTGCAAATCCAAATTTAAGCACCAGCATAAAGTACCGGGAGGCCCTCTGAGCCCCTGGCATCAGACAGACCGCTGTGTAGTGTGTCAAGTGCTACTTGGCGATTGACTATAAATGTAAGTACGGATGTTATGATTAAAAGACAGTTACTGAAGGGTGACCATGTTTGTTAGACGGTACTGGACTTCCAGGAGGATCGCGATTGGGCAGCTAGCGACAGTAAAGCACTTGCTAAGTAACGTATCGACTGCTACAGCAGCGATGAAGAAGAAAACCGGAAGTGTAATTTTTTCTCCTGCTGGCGATAGCGTAAGCTACTTTGGTGTCATCGTCTTATCGGATTGGGGTTGGCAACAGAAATAACAACCTTATTTCGTGTCCAGCCACGAATACATATTTTCGTTGGGGTTTCTGGAGAGGTATGTGTATACTGCACATCCCGTAGTTACTAATAAAAGCGAGAGATGTCGCGGTCAGCTGTCGTTATACAATATACAATACAACTGTTCCTGCTAGTAGCTGCTAACATTAGCCGGTTAGCAGTGGCCTACGTTGGCTAACGTTAGCCACTTGTTCTAAAATGCACTCAAACAGGAACCGACACCGGTTAGCATTAGCAAAGCCACCGTGCCAAGCTAGCTTTCCTGAACTGGCTTTACTGATTAAAGTGTGGTGTGATTAAAGAGTGGTCAGACACATGCAGTCATTCTGTAGCTGAAGCTTGGTCCGTAATAGTTGTTTATTATTTAATTATCAGGCTTTATGACAGGCACTGAATGTGCCAGAAATGTAACGTTAGCCGCTAAGTAGCGGATTAGCCTCAGTCACATAAGTTGCGTTAAGAAGCCTTCCTCTTTATTAGGAAGTGATAATGACATAATTCTAGCACTGTTGCGGTCCACGTACTGCTTATTACATGTCAGCGTTTGTCCCCGTGACACCAGGTCAGTTGACAGTGTTTGTTATTGTCGTAATTTTCAATTACATGGGTTGACAGGGGAAGAAAGTTTAAAGTACAATTATATCCGTTGTGTAAGTATTTGGAACACGATGCGTATTTTAACTTGAACGCAATACATACTATATTCCACTCTCTGCTAAATGCTTACTTTTTCACTTGGCGAGGCAGTGTTGTATGCATATAGCATTAAAGCACCACAGCAGTGCTGTGCATGAGTTACAAAACAAACAGTCACAGCGCCATTAGAGAACAATGAGAGATTGGATAAATTGTTTTTAAAATTCGGTGCTTTTTGTAAGATGTACTAATTGGACAACTTCATCTTTTAGGAAAACAGAGGCGAAGTAATCACTTGATATTTAAACTTCACTCTGCAGCCAGAGTTGAGCTATTTCTGCCTGTTTCTCCAGTTAGCGTTAGCATTTGCTAATAAATAAACAGAAGCCTGTACTGGTTACGTGTTGTTCAGTGTGAAATTTTACTGCCCTTCTCTGCTTTTGTTGTTGTTGTTAATTAACACACTGTTAGTCTTTTCAACCCGATTTCACTCTAGTTGAAACACATTGAACATGTTAGGAACCTTGGCCTTATTTTAGACAGTGGTCTTAGCATTCATAATCATACTAATAAGGCCAACACAACTGCATATGCAGCTTTCTAACAGTATAACCATATGTCAAAAAAAATTCTTATCTCAAACTGACTGGGAAATGGTCCATCCATTCATATCAACCAGGTTACTGCTGTATTTGCAAGATTATCCAAATCATCAGCTAGATAACTTCAGCTTGTTTGAAATTAATTGGCTGCCACTGCAATACAGAAATGCCTTTAAAATGCTTCTATTTGTTCCTAAAGCACTCAGTGGTTTGACCCCCAGTACATCTCGGACTCTGAGACCTCTCAGGTCATCAGGTGCAGGTCTGTAAACTGCTACCAGAATGAGATGAAAGTTTGCTGAGGGTACATTTTGTTATAATGGTTCTCTTCTTTGGAACAACCTTCCCACTGACCTGATGTCAGTTCCAACTGTGTCTACATTCAAAAACAAACTTGGAGCCTCTTTATTCTTGCAGGCATATGATTAATAACTTTGTGTTTGTGTGTGACTGTTAACGTATCTCTCTTATGTTGTTTTTATTGCCTTAAGAGATTGTAGAGCTACATAGTTTTAAAAATATTTTTATCTTTTGTGGCAAGCACATTTAACCTACGTGTAATGAAATGTACTATATAAATAATATTTGCAGTGATATGTTTAAGAGTTTATTAAATATTTAATAGTATTGATATTTAATAGGTCAGGTGACAGTGCTGGATGCAATGTTTTTTGATCTGCTCTAGTTGAAGCTGCAGTTACCTTTCACAGGCATATTAGGGTTAAAGCCTTCCGCTACCCAGAATGATTCATTCATTCAGAGTTCTTCATTCATTCAATCATTCAAATCTATGCAGTCCAGAGTTCAGATCCATAGTAAAACAGGATATGCTTTGATTTCCTAATGTAAAGGAATACATCTGGACAGTGATGTCAGTGTAAATCCAGATTTATGCAATTCACTGTTTTTGTTTTCTCACTGTTTATGTTCTCTCAATCATCAGATGAACAACAACGGGAACAAAAGAGCTCCAACTACAGCCACTCAGAGACTTAAGCAGGATTACCTCAGGATAAAGAAAGACCCCGTGCCTTACATTTGTGCAGAGCCCCTTCCCTCCAACATCCTAGAATGGTAAGTTCCTCATTAGTCAGGAAATATTGGGACTTTTTGACTCTTGAGGTCCAGCCAGGGAAGGGTGTTTAGGGCCATCGACAAAGTTTAAAACCTGTGAATATTCTGTAGAAAAATAATAAACTAAACATTTCATGTGTAAAATCAGGCTAGTGTTTTACACCAACAAAATTGAATCGTGGTTTCCAAGATGAACAGATGAAGAGAATTAAAACTGCATCCACTGCTATATACAAGTGAGTATTTAGCAGTGGATGCAGTTTTAATTCTGTTTTCAGAGCTTTAAAAAATTTACAGTGCTGTGTAAAAGTCTGGAGGCAGTCCTCATTTCTTTATATTTTGCTAAAAAAAAAGTGACATTGGTGCAGCAATTTCTGAAACATGTGCAAACTTAAATGGAAATACAGTGTACAAGGCAAAAGTTTGCACAGTTCTGAGTTGAAAGGCTGAAAGTCATTGATGGGTTTGTAGCATAAACCTATTCGCTGGAACGTTGAAGGCAATATAATTACACCGCAAAGCAAGACACGAAGTAGGCAAGCTTCATGTTACTCGTGCACGGGAGAGAACCGGACAAACGCCGTTCCTTCGCTTGGCCCCAGTTGCTCTCGTCCGTTCTCCCGTATCACTGTCCTTTTATTGAGGTTACATGAATATGCATAGGTTCATTAACATATGACGTCTACATACACAAAGAGTACCGTGTGTGTGTGTGTGTGTGTGTGTGTGTGTGTGTGCTACTGCTGATCAAAGGGTCATAAAAGCACACAAGCAAACATCCTTGGTCAGGAAGAGGGTAGACCCCCCCTCATCCTAGATAACACAGTAAGGAAGTCTAGCAGTTCATTTATACACAAAAAGCACTTAAACTAAAACAAATGTAACTACGTTAATCCTACCATAACAATTAAACAAGGTACGAACTTTCCCATGCTCCCAGTGTGGAATGCACACCAGGCCTCTGTAGCCTGTTAAAGATCACACAACTTATCACTACACAATTGATTATACACTTCTAAGCATCTATGGTTAAATATTTCTAAGCATAAATGAGTAAATGTTTCTAAGCATAAATGACAATCAACAATACAACTCTATCAGTCATTATCCTTCACTATGTCTTGAATTCTTAGGCAAGCTTTTGTGTGCTTTCTTTTTCTTTAGGAATAGTTCTCAGTGCTTCTTGAAGGACATGGTGCAAAACTACTATTTTTATGACTTTTAAATTATGTTATTGTTGTTTTTTGTGTATTTGACTTAAGAAATTGGAAGAAATTGTTCATTGTTGCAACAGGCTTCTACAGAAAGTAGTGAGTCAACTAAAGAAGGGGGAACAAAATATGTTTTTCCAACAGGCTGCTAATAAGAAAGTCATTTCTTTGAAACCATTGTCTCTTATGTGTGTACACAATACTGAGTCATCCCTTTTTATACTGGAATGAATCCTAGGACAGTGTTAAGTAACTTGACAAACAAGAAAGCAAAAGTTAAAGTGAGTGGAAAAAGCAACCAATGTTCAAACATTTAAAAACACGTCTGTAGAACTATTGCGTCAAGACCACTTTGGTCACGTCAGAAAGACTGGTTCCTTGGAAAGATTTATATTTTTTAGAAGGAAAATGTATAGAAATGAGTGATGAGTAAAGACTGCACACTACTGCACCTCAATAGTGGCAAATACAGGCTTAGATTTGAATGATAATACTGTTAGCTCTATTTCTGCGGTAGAAGGAAACCCATATGAAGAGTGACACTGTACAAATTGTATATATCCCACAGACTATCCTAATGATGATCAGGTATCGTTTCCTGTAAAGCTATGAACAGGTTTTTGTTAATTTTGTTTATACTCATTTTCTTTCTATTGGGAGATGTCTTAAAAATCTAAACCAGTACAAAAAAGACGTATAGATATTGGAGAAAAAGTGCAATTGACCAAAAATGTTCTGAATACGTGACATTTAAATAATGAAAGAAATATGTAATTGAGCACTTTTAGCACTTAGCTAAATATTAGCCATATAATTTGATTAGCATTTCTTGAATGGATGTTTATTAAAGAAATTAATGGTTTTAAATAAAGTCATAATGAGCGCTGGAATGTGACATGGCCCTCAGTAGTGTGTTTAACTCTTAAAAGAAAAAAAATATATATATGATATTAAAAAAATATGATATTTTTATTGTAATTATTTAGACATTTGAGCGTGAGTTTAACATGATCAGTGCAGTACTGTGCAAAACTCTAAATTCACCTCTTGGTTTTTATATTTTGCTTCCAAGGAGCCAGACTTTCTTAACATTTTCAAAGTGGTCTGGAGCAGTAGTTCTCAAGACTTTCTGAACATTTTAAAATCTTTAGACACTCGTTGCTTTTTCACCTATTTTCAGTCCAGTTCTTGTTCTTTGTTTTGTTTTGTTTGTTTTCTTGTTTGCCTTTGTGTTAGACCAGCAGTCCCCAACCCCCGGGCCTCGGACTGTGAGTCGTTTGGTACTGGGCAGCGAGAGTTGAGGCTCAGGTGTGAAATGTATGGTTTTCAGGGTTTTTATCGGTTTTCAGCGTTATTTTGTTATCGTTTTTATCGTTAACTCTGTTTTCCTGGGTCTTTTCACATGTGTTATGAATAAATCTTCTTTTTTTTGGTACCGGTACTAGTTTTATTTTGTTGTATTTATCCGCGACACCTTAAAGGCCGGTCCGTGAAAATATTGTCGGGCATAAACAGGCCCGTGGCGCAAAAAAGGTTGGAGACCTCTGTGTTAGACCACTGAGTTAATGCAGCTTGCAGTTAATGTGTATTGTTGAGCCCTCCTGTGCATTTCTTCACTGTAGTTTTTGAATGGAACAGTGAGAGAATAAAAATCACCACCTGATATAAAGAGTAATAAGAGTAGCCTCAATACAAGGATTCACAAAGGTCAGCAAATTCCAGGTGGGAGACAAAACTGTTGGAATTGATGTGAGGGAAGGTGCGGAGAGGTAGAAACGTGAGGAAAAAATTAATTTGGCTCAAAAAATAAAAACAAACAAGACAACAACAAGTAAGGGAGCTAGGAGGGGGCAAAAGTCCCAGCAGTTTGTTTCTTTTGTATCTTGCATCATGTATGAAACACAGGCACACTAATTAACACGTAATTACCTTGTGGCTGCCATTGCCAGCAGCTGCCACTGTGTGCATTCGAGCATGAATGCTGGCGGCGGTGTTGGTTACTAGTGTCGGTTATGTTGAAAGGTCTACAAAGATTCATTGCAGAATAGACAACTTGGCAAAGTAGGCATTTTAAATCATATCTTAGGCGCTTTGTGACTAGCAGCCTGTCATTCATTCATATATCTATCTGTCTGTCTGTCTGTCTATCTATAAATTTAGATCTTAGATCACAGGATGTGAAAGATCTAAATTTTTTAAAAAAAATTGGAGGAGAAACAGAGTTTGATTCTGGGCCATGCCAGCAAGTCTAGAGATGACTTGTTTAGTCAAATCTGAAATAAGTGATTAACTTTTTTTGTTCCTCTTTTTCAGGCACTATGTAGTCAGAGGTCCTGAGAAAACCCCGTATGAAGGTAAGAAATGCTAAACACTAGAAAAAAACTTGTGTAATGTGTGAGTTTAGATGAGTTAATAACTGATAACATCACCGGAATGATCAGGTGAGTCTTTCTCAGGTTAGCTTCATACAGGTATGACTAATCCTTTGGGGGTCTTTTGCTTTTGATATATCACAGTGTTGTATAACATATATTTATATATGTCATGTCTAATTTATAGGTGGATATTACCATGGAAAACTTATATTTCCCAGAGAATTCCCCTTTAAACCACCAAGTATCTACATGATAACGCCAAACGGGAGATTTAAGTGCAACACAAGGTAGGACTGTAGCTTCTTATTGCGCAGTTAATTTAAGCGTTAAAGCTTTGAAAATGATTTAGGCTGCGTTTTTAGAACTTGGTCATAAATGTTCCCGTTTCTCCACAGGTTATGTTTGTCCATCACAGACTTCCACCCGGATACGTGGAACCCAGCGTGGTCCGTCTCGACAATCCTCACGGGTTTGCTCAGCTTCATGGTGGAAAAAGGACCCACTCTTGGCAGCATTGAGACCTCTGATTACACAGTAATTAAAACAGACTATCCTATTTGCAACATAATGACATAAATGACCTGTTATGTCTCAGGTATTTCATGTCTTCTTTCTTTTCTTTTTTTTTTCTAGAAAAGACAACTATCAGCCCAAAGCCTGGCTTTCAACCTCAAAGACAAAGTATTCTGTGAGCTGTTTCCTGATGTAGTTGACGTAAGTATGAGGGCCTTTTTTGGGGGGGGGGGGTTTGGGGAGGGGGACGTTCATCAGGGACTGATTCCATCCTAACCTTCTCCTCCTCCTTTCTGCCAGGAGATGAAGCAGAAGCAGAAGGCCCAGGAGGAGCTTAACGCCCGTACACAGCCTCTCCCCTTACCTGATGTGGTGCCTGATGGAGACCCCCAGCAAGCCCACTATGGCCTCCCAGCCCTCAACGGTGGTCCTGCCCCACTAGGGGGTGCCAACCCCGCCCCTGGCCAGCAGCAGGCCAATCGTAACCATGGACTACTAGGTGGGGCTCTAGCCAACCTCTTTGTGATTGTAGGCTTTGCAGCGTTTGCCTACACAGTGAAGTACGTGCTGAGGAGCATAGCGCAGGAGTGAGAGGAGCCGGTGTTTTAGGGCAGCGCTCCCCTCCCCCTGCAGGTGAGCCAACTAGTGGACTCGATATTCTACAAACACACTACGTGGGGTGGGGAGGGATGTTCATTCCCGATCAAACCCCTCCACAACCACAACCTCCACCACCACCACTACTACCACTACCAACATGGACTTTGGAAGAAAAAAAACTCAAAGCCCACCTAGCCAGGAAGGACTGAGGGGAGGAGGAGGAGGTGGGGGATGGACGGGAGTGGCTGTAGAGCCGGGGCCGGGGAGACTGGAGGGGTTTATTAAAACGGTTGTGACCTACTCTGTGCTTCTGTGGTTTATATCACTTCTAGAAACAAACTTGGCTCATGGGTTGTGGGAGAGTGTAGCTCTGTGGGTCACTTTGTTGCAGACTTCACAGCAGACATATTGATTTCCTTTGAGAAAATGAACTTTGCATAACTGGAAAACTTGTTTGTTGATTCTAAATTGTTTGCCTCTGCCAATCACTTCTTTAGAAAGCATTCCCATCTGCATTGTTTCCTGCTAATTCATTAGAGGAAATAAAATCCTCAGGGGATGAAGAGATGATTTGATCCAGCTCCAAGACTTGTTTTTGTTTTTTTGTTTTTTAAGAGTGACATGAAGAGACCAAATACATACAAGTCAAGTTTCATGTAATCAATTTCCTCGGAAAAACCTCAAAGTAGTAGTTATGGTTTCCACTTTCTGTGTCAGGGGTGTTACGTCTTCTACTTTGTTTCCTATGAATGGGTTTGAATGCATTCCTGGTATACCATTCAAAGGCTGCCAGGCTACAGTGCTGGGATACATGCCAAGAATACATTAGTGTAATTTAGTAAAGGTTGGACATGATAATAAGGACTTGCAAGATGAGTCTGTGGCCAAAATAATGATGAATCCATTAATTCCCATCCAAGGAAGTATAAAAGGCAGATTCTGTGAATAGTGTAAGATCAGTAACTTTTAATAATCAGACACAATATGATAAAGAAGCGTATAGCAGCAAAACTATATGTGCACTTATATGAAAATGGGTGTTATAAAAGAAAGCTCATGCTTGTCAGTACTTGTCAGTTTATCTCACTGTCTGAGATTAAGCACCGGTGATGCGTCACTGACTAAGAGACTAGACAAAACTCCAGCCTTGATTTCTATTCATATATGAAGGCAGAGAGCATGAAGAAAACAAAAGTTGGCCTTTGATCCTGTGAAGCAGCTAAAGCTACACGGTCAGAGTTAGATGTTAGTGCAGATGGTCTCTCCAGTCAACCCATGAGCCAAGCATTGTCTGCACAAAAATAAACGGAGACAAGGACCTTTTAATTTGGCTTAGCCAATCAGTATAGCAGCAATCTACATAGGATTAAATGAGGAGACCCATGCAGAGAACCATTTTTTTTTTTTTTTGTTTCTGTATATTCCTTTTATTTCTTTTTTTTTTTTTTTCTTTTTTTTTAAATCATTTTTTCTCTTTGTGTTTTTGTTCTCTTTTATTTATAGAAATGTCCAGCTTGTCTGTCGTGGCTCTAAGGAAAACACCCAGTGATTTTTCTTAGGGCTGTGCAGTCAAACACGCGGTCGTGTTAGTGGTGCTGGCTCACGCAATTGCTGATGATTTACTGTTGTGCATTGCATTTAGTAAAAGCTGGTTCTACTGTACTGCATCTAATCCTTCCACAGGAAGAAAACTCCGAAAGCAGAAGATTCTCTTGTTCGTTGCTCTTTTCTCGGCGCCATCTCAAAATCAGACCAACATGATGATTATGATGAGAGTGCGTTTGTGTGATTATACAGCAAATGCCCAAATTACCATGCTTCAATTAATCTTGTGTGGCATTGTCTCTGTTTTCATAGTAAAATGCAAATAAATTACCCTGCTCAGTGGGGCATTTAATAATAATATCTCCATTTGCTTAATGATGACGCAGTGGTTCAGTGGTCAGCGCCTCACAGCCAGAAGCTTCTGGGTTTTTGCAACTTCCTGGTGTCTTTCTGTGGGACGTGCCTGTTGTGTTTTCCCCTGAGTGGTTCAGTTTTTCTGCCAGCATAAACAAACGCATGCATGTCAGGTTTTCTTTTTTTTTTTTAAATTGGAAGTAAATGCTTATGAAGACCTCAAAGTTTGTAGAGTGAAAAATGTGACTTCCATGTAAAGTTTTTTGAGGGTTTAGACTAAAAATAATACATAGGTGGAAGTCCATTCTCTGACAACATCACATGCTGTTTTTATCTGCTGCACAGATAAAATCAGCTTAACAGTTCAACAAAACTCAAGTTTATTTTCTCTTTAAAAAAAGAAGTCAAATTTAGGTCCTCGTAAAGTTTTAATAGTCAACAAATGGTTAATAAAACAACTATGAAAGATACGTGGACTTGCATGCCCGCACACCCTTTCTATAGAGTGAAGTTCCACAGAATATTATTTACCTGAGGGCAAGACTTCCTTGGAAATGACACGGCCTCGTGATCAGGGAGGGCTTTAAAAAGCGTTCAACCAGTCAAACTGGCACAATACACCTCTTCTACACTCAGAGACGCAACGCTCAGCAGCAAACAAGCAAGTAAGTATTTCAAATGATTCTTAGATGATTTTGTTACTGAGCACCTGTTAAAGAAAAGCTGAATTTCTTCACGTTTCAGTTTTACATTTGTGAATATTTTATATTGTGTCTATTTTTCCCCTCCACTCACCTATTTTGTGTTTTTTCTGTATCGCAGAAAAAGCAGCCTTCCACGCATTGCTTATTCTGCATATCTGATACGAGCATGGTCACCGCCGAGGAGCTCGAGTGCTGCGTGTGCTGCTACGAGTATTCACGCAGCAACAGGATACCGCGGGTCCTCCACTGCAACCACACCTTCTGCGCCCCTTGTCTGGAGAGAATGTCCAAGCTGGAGGGTGCCATCTACACCGTCTCCTGCCCTCTCTGTCGTTGGATTACCTGCACCAGAGCCAGCTTGACTTTGCCAGGGGCTCTGTGGGTCAACACAGAAATCTGGGACCAGATTTCCACGGAGCAAAATCAGAATGAGAACCATTCAATGGAGGATTTAAAAGACCCAAAGTCGCTACTCATCGAGCACTCACTGTAAGTATAAGCTTCAGAACTGCGGTCCAGTTCCTCTGGGGTTTTTTTTTTTTTTTTTTTTTGAGAGAAGTTGTAGTCTGTATCTTACCTAGAGATCTCAATAAATAAAATTTCTCCTCTTTCCTTTTAGACCCGTTTCACAGCATTCACGTTTGAAGTCCACACTCTTGAGGGTTTTCAGCTGCATGCCTCTGCAGAGCAGACACTAAGTGATTAACAGCAGGATTTGTACCTCTTACATGTTGTTTAATCGTAGACTGAAGTGTGCAAGACCGTAAAGTTTGCATGATCTGAGCTCCACGTAATGGACCTGCACACAGGGCTTCGGTGAGAGTTTGCGTCTTGTGAAGAGTGAAGGCCTGAAAGTCTTCCGTGCGGCTTGACTTTGTGTGAACTTGACTGTGATTTGGAAGGCACTGAATCTGCCTCCATTTAAAGTTGTGACTGTGAACCTTTTTGTTGTTTTATATCAGCAACAGCAAATGTACTAATGAAAAAATAAATCAGATCAGCACTGTTTATCTGAACAACGAAGATGATTTAAAGCATGATTTTTATAATATGATTTATTTTATAATGAAACTTTTTTGTCACTTTACCTGTTTTATACATTTTTAAGAAAACAGTGTCATTTTTGTTAATTTTTTTCTATTATAAGAATCACAAAAATGAAGGGTTTTAACTAAATACAGTGAAATGCAAACTGTCTACTATGTATGTAAATAGCCGTCTGTGATACAAACATGTTAATGAACATCATCTGTGAATAAAGTGTTTGGAACTGAAGGAGCACATGTTCAGTTTTCAAATATGGGAACCGTTTAATAAATGTTCAAAAGTATCCAGCACTCATTGTTTTCTTTGAGACTCTACTGTACTCTGCTGTGTTTATTGACACCAAGAGCCAGCTATCTCTGCACATATGTTACTATGTTTCACAATCGTATAAAAACCTTAAATCATTAACCATCGTAAAAATGTATCACCCTTCTATGCTGTATTCTTTCACACATGTACAGGTCACACTGCTTGTGAGCTTCCTGTTAAAATTAAAGCTCTCATCTCCCCTATTGTCTCCGCTCATGTCAGTTCCTTACTAATAACCAGAGATGGGCAGTAATGCGTTACTTGTAACAAACGTAGCAAACCTCCGCCTACCCCTCTCCTGCTTTACAGGTTAAAAATAGAGCATATAATTAAATTTTTGCTTGATGCATAAAGTTAAAAGATTAAAACATAAAACAAGTTTTAAAAAGAGACTTCCATTTGATTACATTTTGTATGATGGATTATTCAGAAAAAGTAGAATTGGGCTGAAAGATCTATCGCTTTATCACCTATTCAGGTTGTAAATCGTGTTTTTAAAAAGTAACTAAGTAATTAATTACTTTTGAAATTAAGTAATCTGTAAAGTAATGGGATTACCCTTTGGGGAAGTAATTAGTTACTGATTACTTTTTCAAGTAACTTGACCAACACTGCTAATAACAATCCAGACCTGATAAGACTTACACATGGGGAAAGAATTTACTGATCATTTTACCATTTTTTCAAGTTACTATGAATTTCTCCTCGGTAGTTTCAGTTTAGGAGGAATTTAGATACATGTAGGTAGTTAAATTCATGAATATGGCCGTTACGCCAGGCTGCTCTTTGTTGACTTTAGCTCTGCTTTCAATACGATACTCCCGGACAGACTAATAGTTAAACTGCTGGAAATCGGACTTCCTTCTACCACCTGCCGCTGGATCAGAGACTTCCTCTCAAACCGTGCACAGAGAGTTAGAGTGGGCCTCATCTTTCCTCACCCCTCAGCCTCAACACTGGCTCTCCACAAGGCTGTGTACTGAGTCCCCTACTGTACACACATGACTGTGTTAGTTCCCACCCAGACAACGCAGTCATCAAGTTTGCAGATGATACCACCGTGGTGGGGCTCATCTCTGGGGGAGATGAGACGGCGTACAGAGCTGAAGTTCAGAGGCTGACAGATTGGTGTGTAGATAACAACCTGGACCTCAATACCACCAAGACAAAAGAACTGGTAGTTGACTTCAGAAGGAGGAAGTCTGAGCTGCAGCCTGTCAGCATCAACGGGGAGTGCTTTAAAAGGGTCTCCAGTTTCAAGTTCCTGGGTGTGCACATAGACACAGACCTCCAATGGCGCTCTAACACCTCTGCGGTTTTAATGAAGGCCCAGCAGCATCTCCACTTTCTAAGAATCCTCAGAAGAATGGACCTGAAGAAGGAGCTGCTGACCGTCTTCTACCGCTGCTCCATTGAAAGTGTGCTGACATATTGCATCGGTGTGTGGTTCTCCAGCTGCACCACAGCACACAGAAAGGCACTCCAGAGGGTCATCAATATGGCCCAAAAAAATCATTGGACATCGACTTCCCTCCTTGAAGGACCTGTACAGCACTCGCTGTCTCAAGAGGGCACGCAGCATCCTACGGGACGGTACACACCCAGGACACCGGGTGTTTAAGCTGCTGCCGTCTGGCAGGAGGTTCAGGCTGCTGAGGTCCCGAACAAATAGACTCAAGGACAGCTTTTACAACAGAGCAATAGGCCTGATCAATGCAAATAGCTGACCTGACTGGCTACCTCCTTGGACTTTTTTTGGGGGGGGAGGTAACAACAGTAAAAACATTAACAATAATAATATTTATATTTATAACAAGGTGCAATAATGACTAATGTGCAATACAAATATACTTATTCTTTTTTTATTACTAAGTTAATATAGTGTGTGTCATATTATATGTAGTGCTGACGTAGGACAGTTTTCCAATTTCATTGTACTATGTATGACTGCGCAATGACAATAAAGAGTTATCTTAGAGAAAAAAAAAAAAAAAAAAAGGAATGAATGAGGAAACGAGTCGCTGTGAATTTGAGGTTATTTTATTGGAAAACAATGAAATTGGATTACTTAGCTGAAACCTTTGTCCCTGAATTAGATCTAACAGCCTCTTTACTATACTATGTTAGGATTAAACACAGACGTTACAACACAAAACTGATGCAAACAAGGGGAAAGGAATTACTTTGGGGGGGAAAAAAAAAAGCTGATAATCCAAAAAAAACCAAAGATTCACCTCCTTTAAAAATTCAAAAACACAGTGACTGCTGTTCTCCAAACTTTAGTATAGAAAACCTTTCTGAGACGAAGTAAGCTGTACATGTAAAGGACAGCTGCACCTCTGGGCGAGACATAGCAGTATAAAGATCTCTCTTTGAGACACGGGATAATTCATGAGAACGTTAAACTGAGACAGTTTGCATACATTTAATCAGTCAGTCCTTGTGTAGCACAGTGTGCAAGTTTGTTACAACTTCCTAGCAAGCATTTTCAGAGCGTCACAGGGAGAAAAAAGGAAAATCTCCTTTGTTATGGAGAGGCGTGGGAATTTGGGGTGAAATTTGTGTGTTTCATCTTCCCCCCTCTCCCCAGCCCATGTGAGGTTTTTTTAAAAAAAATATTTATTTCAAGGACATTTGATTTCCCCGCTCTTACAATTTAAAAACAGTTTTTCACATCATTTCTCAGACTGGGCATCCACTCTGAATTTCATAAATACATTCAGCACTCAGTTATTGTAGGTTTTTTTTTTGTTGTTGTTTTTAAAGAGATTCTATTGCATAAGGACAATCAATCCTGGCTAAAAAACACTGTCACTACATTAACAGACTATCACATGTGCACTTAAATTAACACATATCCATCAGTTTTCACCGTATCTCTTCTTTTAATCCACATCTTCGTGGACCTCGCTCTTCCTACCTCGCACAGACATTAAAACTTAATTTAATAAACAGAAGACATATATGAGTAAACAAACATAAGGTACAGTCATTATTATATCACTAAAAACACAGGGCCTCAGTGGATTAGTGTGAAAACTTTATAATAAGGTTCACAGGAAGGAACAAGAGAAAAAAAAACTAAAATAAAACTAAAAATTGTCAGCTTCATCAGTCTGGCAAGTCAGCGTCTTGAAGCTCCTCAAGTTTCGTTGCAGCTTGTGATAGGAGGAAAATCTCTCTTCACAGATAACCTCGAGATAAAACAGCTGTAAAATATGTTTCAACAACACCATATTAATACATCAGGATGCAATGGGGATAAAATGTGGACCATAAACAATTTAAAAGGGAAAAAAAGATAAATAATACAGAAGATCATTTCAATAACACTAAGAGTCCGTAAGAGCATATAAATGTGCTAGAGGTGAAACGCTGTCTTGTAGTTCAAAGCAGCAAACAATAAGTGACCAACAGTTACTCTACAGTTTAAAATGTCCCTTTGTGATATCATATGGGGAAGTGACCCCCCCCCCCAATTCTTTGTGCGAGATTTCCTACAAATATGGATACTGCGCGAGGCGCCTAGGGCTTAGCTGGTAGGCACTGTAAACCTCGGTTCGGGGCGTCACACTAACATAAGGAGAACCAGTGGCGAACTGATGCTGGTAGGCTGCAGGGAGGCCGTGCAGCAGGCTGCTCACCGAGTCCTTGCGACTGGCCGAGTCTCTCCTGGAGGAGGATGAGGTGTACGTTGCTGCATAAGCGGAGGGGGAGTGTCCGTGGGTGCTGTGACCACGGCCCAGCAGCTGCTCCGTGGCCTGAGAGGCTGAGGAGAGGGCAGTAGAGGCCGGGTAGGTATATAGGCTGGGGGGGCGGCAGCAGCGGCCGAGCCGGACGCCAGGGCTGCCACCTCGGGGAAGCTGTAGTGAGAGGCTGAGACGGCCTGGTGGAACGTCTGCTGGCGACGTAACGATGAGTCGCTGTGGGAGAGCCCCGAACGCTCCTGAGATGAAGAAACTACTGTGTGAACCTTTGAAAATAAATACATACACTCAATCAGACGCTGGGTACAACATGCAAGAAGATTATAGTCTGCATCTACATCTTTGGTATCGTCAGTTTTTTGTGCCAAATGGGGAGGAACAAACAAACAAACCCCCACTTGTTTTTCCCCTCCCTTTTTTTGTGTTATACAACTGCCAGATAACAGATGAAGGTGCGCGCTTGAATGTTACCTACACCGCAGACAGCTTTGGGCTTATTAAAAGGGCTGCAATTATTCATTGAGTAACTCAATTATAAAAAAAGCGTTACCGTAACTGCCACAATTGTCAAACCACCTAAATTTAAAATAAACGCATGTGTGTGCAGATGACCTGTTAACATAGTCTGAGTGGGTGGGTCTAAAGGGGGGCATAGGGTGCCCTAGTGCACATTTGACTTTACTAATATTATTTTTAAGATTTACGTTAATATAAAATCTAATGCATGCACAAAACACACATAAAAACACATTAAATCTACCTCAGGAGATAGAATACTGTCACAACCCTTTTGCTCTCTTCTAATGTAAGAAAGCCTTCCAAGAAGCCTGAAAACAAGATTAACTTGGCATGTAAATACAATGAACAAAACAAAAAATATATATATATATATAATCTATCTATACACTGTATTATTTTTATTTTTAAATTGTTACAATTTCTAAAATTTATTATTAATTTAATATTTTTATTTACAAAAGTAATTCTGATTACTCAATTGATGGAATAATTCAATTACTAAAAAAACAAACAAACAAAAAAAACCAGCTGCAGCACTAATTGTGTTGTAAAAATAACAGCCGGAGCCTTAAGAGGAAAAAAACGAGGGGAAACTCCTGGTGCTTGACATAATGTGCATATAAAGCAAAACTAATGCTAAAATTAGATACTTTTAGATGTTCAGCTGTCCAATCGCTGCATATGGTACAAATGCAAACCTCACCGAAAAAGTTTCAATACACGTTTCCCCCAGCAGAGGGCAGTAAATACACGTAGGCCTTTAATAACAGGATATTAAGAATCCTTGGGAAAAAATGTTTTATACCTTTGCTGGTAAAAGGTGCTAATGTCATAACTTATGACAGATCCTGACCTTTTCACTCAATCACATGATGACATGGTGCACTCTGATGTAGCTTACCTATAACCTTTACTCTCCTCATATTGCTACAATCAAAATAAGGGCCCAGCCTCCTGTAGTTGATTAGTTGCGTGGTTATGGACAAGGATTCTCACAAAACAATGTCCCATTAACACACATTAATTACTTAATGTAAAACCAACAAGATAAAACAAGCCTCACCTGGCTGAGGTTTAAAGGGTGCGACTGGCTTGGCACCAGTCCATGGCGCTCCACACTTTCCCCTGAACTGCACGGCTGTCTGTTAGAGGATCTCTTGGGCTTGATGTAATTCACTGAGAATTCAAAGCAGTAAGACATACTTAATTATGCTTTCACACTTCAGTTAAATACACTGCTAAAACTACAGCAGCACACGGGTGACTCACCAGTCTCCAAGCGTCCTCGGGACTCTGTTCCTCTCTCAGATGCCTGTGTTTTGACTGAAGGTGCCACTACTGCCAGAGACTTGGCCTGGCGAGATGACATAGTGCTTGCTGGGTTAAGAGTGCGTGGAAGGGGAGTCAGGGGGCTGGCGGTAGAGGAGTCCGAGTCGTGTACGGTCACACAGCTGATAACGTTGGTGCGCTGGCTCAGTTCAAGACTGTGGAGGAAGTAAGTAATTTCCCGGGTCATATCAGGCAAACGAGTACGTCAACAGCTTTCATTCTACATGAATTGGGTCCCAGTGCTGTCTATGAGCTCAAAGAAGCCTTGCTTTGCATTTCTCTCATTTACCTTGACATTCTGAAATTTCAACTTAGGAATGAAAGTGATCTGAGAAAGAAACACCACACCACTGTTCAGTGCAGAAGAGCATCCTGTTCTCACCTAGCAGGGTGGAACTTATGCTCATCCTCCGTGTCTGTGTCACTGTGAATCGTAATGATGCTGACCGCTGGGCTCGGCGTGTCCGAGATCACGATCGGCTGTGACAAGGCTGCGCTGGAGCTGGGTGGAGTCACGCCACTACTGACCACTGATGCAGTAGATACACCCCTACGGGAAAGAAAAACACCACCATCACCAACCATTGACTGTGTGTTCAACCCATCAGCTGCGGTACCACGAAGAAGACTTTAAATAAAAATTTAAAAATAACGCCATTTTCTTTGCTTCTAGTTTCAACTAGTTTTTACTCCCATAAGAAGGCTTTTTGTCTGAGTGGCAACACGTATCGTTTAGCAGAATACAGCAGTGGATGCTGTGCCCTCAGTGCAGGTATAAAAAGTGTCCTGTCACTGTTTGCAAGCGAAAGAACCAGTGTGGCAACCGTCACAGGCCCTTTAGCCATCTCTCCCTCGGTATGGTAGCTTAAACCCCAATGAGGACTCTTAAAATTAAACTGGAAGAAGAGCAGAGCTGTACCAACCTGTTTCTGTTCTCTCCACGTCTGGCTTTCACCTTCTTCCTCTCCTGCTGAGTCTTGGTAATGCTCCTATAAGGTCAAAGGTCAGACTAGTTTAGCCTTCATATTTGCCATTTTACTTCACCTTTCAATGCAGTATTTCTCATGTAGTATGAAATTAACCAGTTCTAGTGTTGCTACTCAACTAAACAAAACCCCCAAAAGATTTGTAGCATCTTATTAACTTATCTGAAATGAGTTAATTGGAGGCCAAAGTGTTTGCGTATGAAATAACAATAACATAGCATTTCAGATACTAGTTATGAAAAGCGATAGAAAGTTATTTAATATTTAATCGATTTCATTATTTTTATTCTAATTTAACCTGAAAGAAATAACATTGAAAATGATTCAGCTTTAAATTTGAGAAGCCCATCAGTCTACATGCATCTTTAACAGTTGTTGGTTGACCCACCGCCAGCTGTGTCCCTGCTGCGTGGCAGCATCTGAGTGAATCGTTTCCACAGGTGATTCGGTGACATTTGACTGATGGGCAGAGCCGTGGATGGCTACGCCTGGGACCTGCTGCCATGATGATGGTATGAGGATCTGTTGGGTACCAGTGGGCCAGGCCTGCTGAGAAAAAACAAACAGAAAAGAAAAAAAAACACAACAACCAACACTTGAGTACATGTAATATGGAAGACAAATTGTGTATGGATGAAAACAAATTATCTGATTGTTGGAATGGGCCAGACAAACTGAGCCATGCGGACATATAAATTCCAAAGACTGAATACAAAGAGGCAAGCCAATGGCCAATCTCTTCTACAGGCAAGAGCGCAAAGCTAGATAAGCGAGCAACCTTTCCCAAGCCATTCCTTAATTATAACATTGCCCTGCAACAAATCCACAAGATGATAATCATGCAAAGCACAAACAATGAAGCACTGTAAAATGTCAGATCAGGTATAAAGACAAGTAGGCAGAACCATGGTGCCTGTTAAAGAAGAAACACTAAGAGATTAGTTGAGTTCCCTGCTGCTAAACAGTCTGCTGATGATATGTCTTGGGAAAAGGCATGCCACATGTTCTGGGGCTGAAACAAAAACCAAACAAACACAAAAAAGAAAAAAGTATGTGTCAGAGTCAGACAGGCTGTCAGGACAGTTTAGAAGACTTTGTTGCTGCAGCCCCCTCTGCTGAAACCAAGGAAGGACATGACAAGAGAAGCTGCAAGCAAAGCGCAGACCAACTCAGCAACACATGCGCTCCATGCCCTCAGCAGACCTATGGGGAAAGACTGGGGAATGAAACTGTGAATGGTGTGGGGCGAGCATGAGTAAAAACGCAGTGTAAATTTGGTCAATTTTGCACTGTGGAGGGGGTTTATAAAATAAAGTAGTAATATAAAATGTGATGCCAGAACACACACAAAAACGTTTGATTTTCCTATAAAAATTTGCATCAAACGACCATAATTATGAAAGGTGACAAATCCACATGTGAAGAGGAACGATGCTGAAATACGATGTGTAAAACAAAGATGGGCCCCTTACAACGCGTGGCAGAGAGGGAGCGGAACACTTGCAAAGAAAACAAAAAAAAGAAAAGAAAAAAAAGGGAGAGCAGGAGAGAGATGGCATTGTTAGTGGTAGAGGGAGTGTGCATGTCTTTCTTCGGGTATGTCATCGTTGCTTTACCAGCACTGTGGCTGTGTGTTCCAGGAGGGTAGGCCGACCCACCCCAGTGCCCAGCCCAAGGGGCAGAGAATACTGCGGGGCTAGGCCTGCTGGGGGTGGGTGCAGGGTGGCCACCATCAGGGGTGTGCAGGAACCCTGGAGGAGGGAGGGGCAGTGTTAAGTCATGACGAAAAGTAGCGCCCTTCAAGACTGATACAGATTTTTCTCTTTTTTAAAATAAAAACAGGCAGAGCAGATACACCCAGCTGCACAAGAGATGCACACTGGCACCGCTGCCCATCTGGAGACCTGGTCTCTGCAGAGTGCAGCAATTATTCCTCAATTTAGCAAACAGCAATTAACCAGCTTTTGGAGCCAGATGAGTCTCACTACACATGTGGCCTTTCTCCCACATAAAAAGACTGGGAATAAGAGGCCTGGCCAAAAGTGGTGATCCAGTCAGCTCTTAAAGCAAATTCAAGTGGAGACACACAGTCAACAGAAAAAGAAAAACAGAATACAGTAAAGCCCAGGCCCTCGACTTATTTCAACAATTGCATTTAAGTAGCTAACATCTTATGCCCTAAATTCCTTAGAAGAACCCGATCTGCCTTCCTCCTGGCAGTAAGACCAACAAAAGCAGGGAGAATTTTTAGATGCACTCAGTATATCCACAAAGGAGCAAAACAAGGCATCAGTGCTCCACAAACTGGTGCAAGTAACAGCGGGATGTTTCCAGATTTTTTACAGTAACCCCTGAGCTGAAATTATTGAATGACAGATTATTCAGAAAAAAAGAAAGAAAAAAAGGTGTATTTATGTACGTTTAAGTTACATCAGATAATAAAGAAAACCCAAATACACCAGACCCCAGTTACAACTTAACCTCATCTCTTCTTCCAGGAAATGTGAATATAACCTCCATCTATGTTCAGTGTTGGACCCATTCAGAATGCACAGCTGTCACTCGAATGGTCACAATAAAGACTGAATCCATTCACGGCACAGAAGCATAGAATTACAAATAAAACGGTGAAAAGTGAGCAAATCAGTCAAAGCCGCGGCACTTCTCTCTGCCTGCCCGTGTGTGCACTCCCACTCTCTTGCCAAGTGTGTGGCACGTCTAAAAGCGGAAAAGTTCTCAGGTAAAGGTTGCAAACAGTCACACACAACGCTTTTTTTTTTTTTTAAACAGTCATAACATCACCCACTGTAAATCCACAATCAAACTCACCCAAAAATAACTAGGGAACAGAAAAGGTTAAAAAAAACAAAAACAAGATGCTGTGTCTCTTGATAGAAAATTCATAAATTAAAAAAAAACAACAACACAAAACTCAAGAATTCCTTCAAACGCTGGACCTTCCAAACTCTTACCTGTGTCAGCATACTTGGCTGTATCTGCAAGGACTGAGTAGACTGGTTCTGAGGTACTATCGGTACAGAGTTCTCCACCCTCACCGGGAAACTGGAACTCTTACTGGATGACTGCAGCCCTAGAAAACAAACGATGACAAACATCTCAATTATTAAAGGATTAAAAGGATCTACCATCTACTACAACATCTACAAATATTGTAGTAGATGGTAAAAAAAACAAAAACAAGACTTTGTTGGTACAGAAAGCCTGACACAAACCAGCACAGAGGATTCATACCTTTAATACTGAAATCAAAGTGAATGTTTGTAATCAACTTTATGACTTACCTTGGATAGTGGAGGGTGGACAGACGATGAGTGTCTGCTGGAAGGGTTCCGTCTGGCTACACAGCCCAGCAGGACGCGTTGGGATCGGGACACTCTGCTGAGTCAGCCCGGGAATGTTGATGGTCGCCTGCTGGTACAAAGCTGGCTGGTAGTTCAGCAAAGGCACCGCACCCGCTGCAGAAGGCACCTGTTAAACAACAAAGCCCATTAATACCAGCAAAGACTACAGGTTGACAGAAGAGTAAAAATTTAGCATCATACCTGGTTATGCTGGTTTAGTTGGCTACTGAAGGTCACGGTGAGGTTGCCCGCTGCAGCACTTGGGACTGCATTGGTCGAGTAGAGGGATTTGCTGCTTTCATAGGAGCTCCGGCGCTTGCAGATCTCCATATTCTGGAAGCACGACTTCACACTGAAGAGGAATTAATACCATTGCATCAGCAAATGCATTTAAATAGACCAATAACTCTTCATCCTGCTACACACACTTACTGGGAGCTATGGGGATAGTCCATGAGGTGGCTCATCGTGACAAAGGGGTGACCCAGAGTTTTTGTAGGTGTGATCCTTTTGTCAGCATCCAGACGAAGCATTCGCTTCAGGAGGTCTATAAACTCTCTCCTGTCAGCTTTCTCAGCCAACATGTCAGTTCCCTCCAAGTGAGAGGAAAGGTTGACCTGGTAGGTTAATGACAAGAAGGGAAGGACAAAAAAGGAAAAACCTGGTCAGGCAATCACTACATGCCATATTTAAAGCCATTTCCTGGGTTATGCACTTATTTGGATATACCTGCATCATGTCATCCAGACAGTTAAAGATGTACTTTCTAGCCTCCTTAGATTTGATGCCCATCTCCATTTCATGTTCTGACGGGGTCTAAAAAAAGAAGCACAATATCCATTTATGTTTCATAACACTACCATTTACAAACATTAAATCGGTTGAATGGGGACAACCAAAATAAAGGAACCAAATCAAAACGAGCATCAAGTCTCTTTACAGCTTATTCAAGAAGATACTCGTAATATTAACCTTAAGCCTCCAGAGCGGGTAGCTAGAGTCAGGGCCTCGATTGAAGAAGCGGCTAGTCTTTGTGCCGGCACTCAGAAGATACTCAGCAGGTAGGCCTTGAGTCTGGGAAATGTAACGGATCTGGACACAGAAGAAAATATAGAGATAAAGCAATCACTGCAGAACTGCGATGTTTCAAGTACTGTGTAGTTAAGAGTACTATAACTGACTTATTAAATACGTATACCTGGATTTAGAGCGGCATGGCATTTTAGAACCCTCTCTTGGTTAATAGGTCAATTATAATTTGCCAAAAACACTCAATCTGATGTGAGAAAAACTAAATACCATTCTCTTACAAAGCAGGGTGGTGGCACATTCATGTAGTCATGCTTACTTGAAGAAAAATGTGACCTTTATTCGAAAGGAAGACTTTCCTAGTCTTTCTTTGAGCACTGTTTTTGCTAACTTGTAAGTCCTTGGGACCATGAACATGACTGACCTGGTCATACTCAGAGGCTCCAGGGTACAAAGGCCAACCCAGAAACAGCTCCGCAATCACACACCCTAGAGACCACATGTCAATGGCCTCACAGAAGGGCAGCCCCAAAATGATCTCTGGAGCTCTAAACAAGAAAGATGAGATTTATACATTAATGTGGGGACAGAACTGGGCTACACAACTGAATCACATTAACACAACTCTTACGCATAACACTGCAAACTAAAAGGCACTTAAACGCTCCACTTGCCTGTAGTAACGGGACTGTAAGTAGGTTGAGCACACTGCTTTGGATACATGACTTGCAGAGCCGAAGTCGATGACCTTCACCCTGTAGGGCTGTCTAATGGGGTCCACCAACATGATGTTTTCAGGCTTCAAGTCTGCATGAATTAAACCCAGGCTCTTCAGTTTCATTAGTGCTGTAGCCACCTAAAGACATGAACACATGAGAGTTAGTCTGGGTGAAAAAAAAGAGGAATCAACTTTTTTTCTGCATTCACAGTTTGCCAACCTGCTGCAAAATGGGGCGGATGTGCCGTAGGGGAAGTGGGCTGAACTTGCTCTGCTTGAGAAAGTCGTACAAGTTCTGTTCAAGCATCTCAAAAACCAAGCAGGTGTGACCCTTGTGTTGGAAGCATTCGTACGAACGCACAAAGTTGTACTCATCTGCGTTCTCTGCACTTAGCCGGTTCAGAATGCCCACCTATTAGGAAAGGAAAAAAAAAAAACAACCAAATATGATGAGAAAGACAAACGCTAGTACACCCCTATGAAGGGAATGCAAGTGTAGTGAACACCAATTTGTGTATGTAACGTAAACTTTTAGAAGAAACTGGTACATCGAACAAAATCCTGTTTACTTACCTCAATTTGGCCCTGCCGAGCATATGAAGGGTGGTTTTTCAGAATTTTGATTGCTACAATCTCATTGGTTCCCCTCTTCCAGCACTTAGCCACTTGTCCAAATGTGCCCCTCCCCAGGAACTCCAGCACTTCATAGCCGCTGGACACGGAGCAGAGGATCTCATGCTGCACAAGCTGATAATCCCCTTCACCATTGGAGCTGCTGCTCTTGGTGGTTGGAGCAGAGTGAGGTATGGACTGGCCTGTGCCCCCGCCTCCACCGCCGCCTGTACGCGTGGAGTAAGTTGCCGCAGGAGCTGAGAGCTCTTCTAATATCTGGACGCTTCCACATCCGCTTCCGCTACAGTCGCTGGCTGCCTCCATCTTTCTCTTCTGCCCATGCCTGTGCCCCCTAGTTTCAGAGGACGTCTCGTGAGCATAAGAGGAGGATGTAGCCTGCTCAGTGACGCGTCGACTGGATCCACGAGGAAGACTGCCGGTGCTATCAGCTGCTCGCACCACCACTTGACCCCTGGAGCCGGGCGCTGTAGGGGGGAAGACCAGAGATGGCGCAAATGGTGGCACAGCCATGGCTGGGGTGAATGTGTATGCAGACTGGCCCGCTATGGATCCGTAAGCCTCAGTGGTGGACACGTCCCAAACGTTGCTTTCCACCTTGAGCTTCTTGACGCGGCAAAAGGCACTGGAGGAGATTGACGGAGGGGAGAACACCTGCAGCTGCTGGGAACTCATAGCTGTAAAGAAATTGAAGAGTGTTAGCCACATGGCCTACCAAACAAAACAAAACAACCCAAACAAATACAGTTGTGTGTCTTAGAATAACTGTGATACATTATTGTACTGTGTAAATTTCTCCAGCCAAACCTCATTTCTTTATATTTTGGTACCAAAATGGAAATAGATGCAGTAATTTAATGAAGCATGTACAAACATAAATAGAAATAAAGCATATAAAACAAAAAGAAGTCAGTATTTGGAAGGACCACATTTATTCCTCAGCACAGCCTGAACTCTTAGCCAAGCTTCTTGCCATTTTAAGTAGCCTTCAGGGATAGTTCTCCAGGCATCTTGAAGGACATTCAAAGTTGTTCTCTGGATGTTCACTACCCTTTGTTTTGGTCCGTCAATACGACTTCTTGAGTTACCACATTCACAAGTCAGGAAAAGATTTACCTCTGACCTTAACCTTGAAGTCAATGTCACCAAGATTCAAACTCGTCTGAGATTTTCAGTAAACTCACCTATGGCATTAATTTAAAATCCTACACCGCCATGTTCTCGAGTCATCACATTCACAAACTTGTGTCTATGCTGTCTAGCAGCATTATGACAATGTCCCATCATCCTTTTATGACTGGAAAAAGCCAATTTTCAAGGGAGAACTCTGAAAGACATTCAGCAAGCCTGTAGAACTATTGCTTAACAAAAAACAAACAAAGAAAAACAAAACACCAAAACCCACAAAGAAATGAGAGATGCCTCAAGAATTTTGCACAGTTCTGTTTTGTTGCAAGTTTATTAGGTGCAGTGAGATAGTGCAGTGCATCAGGCTGCATATTAAATATAAGTCGACACCTCACAGTTTGATCAAATTCAACCCATATCTATATGCCTGCATATTAAGCAATTTCAGGAAGTATGCCTGATGAATGAAAACTGCATGAAACACTTATTTAGCTTTACAACTAGGCAGGATCTTGCGCAAGGGGTAGCTGCATTTCCAAATCCATGCATACCTATTGAGGCATGAGGGGCACCCATGATTAAAATCATATTCTTTTGGAAAGTGGTAAATCATCAAACAAAAACAAAGGGCGGGGGGTGTCTAATGGGTTTTTGAGATTCCAAGTGAACTGAACAATAAGTCTTCTGTAATGCCAGTTTGAATCACATGGTGGTGTAGTGAGTCAATATGGAGTCCAGACTGCAAGAGCCCAGTGTGGAAAGAAGAGGAAATGTAGCTCAAGAGGCAAATGTGAAAGGATGCGTATTGGAGCTAACAATACAGCAATCAGTTCCTTAAGCACCCAGAAAGAGTCATTCCCCTTGTAAAGAAAGGGAATTTAGAAAGAAAAAACAAAAATAGTAAACATCTGAGTGGTACAGGTGGTGGCAGCAATGAAAACTTTTGGTTTTTAACTCTCCCACTTTAACCTTCTGTACGCCACAACTTTGTTCTTCTTCTTGGTTGGGTGACGGACAGCACAAATAAGAGTAGCTTACAGACCGGTTGTACCATATACTTTGGACACAGGGTTGCGACAACTGCGCAGACCCTCACGCTTCCTGCCTGATGATGACATTTACTGGAATGCTAGTGGATTCATGGATATGTTAAGTGTAATGCAATCTTAATAATGTTTGTTATTAATTTGCTATAATGCCAAATGTGTGGCATAAAGAAAATACCCATGCAAGTGTAGGCAGCAGCTCTTGCTACTTCTGTGCAAATACAGTTGGCAGTAGCCCAAAAAACCACATGACTGAACAGTGGGAAAACAAACGCCAGACAAAGGCCCCAGCTACAAGACTCCGAGGATGCACGTGCAAACAACCTGAGAACGCTATGCAAAAGATTTTACAGATGCACAATAAAATTTAGCATTATATCTAATACACTTACAGAAGTTACTAAAATAAAATATACATGTGCTGTACTTTGTACTATTCTCAATGTGGTCAGACTAAACTTTTGATGCTTTTGTGACTGGAAGATCTACACAGCAGTCCTTCAATTATGTCACTGGCATGATCACGTGACAGTTTAAAAATAATAAAATAAAGTTTAAAAAAGAAAATTATATCGGATATAAAAGTAAAAAAAATTCTGAACAGTTGGGAAAATTTGTGTTACAGCATCCAGAACATATGAAAAACAACTTATATTTGATGTTTTGCAAAGAAAACAACAAAAACAAAGCAAGCTAACAAACAAAAAAACAAACAAACACTAAAATGAAAGCAGCTATTACTGTATGAGGTGGTTTTTTTGTATCTGTCATTCTGGGAAGGGAGCCAGAAGTGCTCAGCTGCATGTCCAGTAAGAGGTGAAGAGGGTAGTTAGGATCCATTCAATAACCACAGCCATTTACGTGACCTGTTCCAGCTGATTGAAGAATCCGGAAAGTATGTTGACCGAAACTGGATTCAGACAGCAACAGCAATGATGAATTCCTTCAGCAAGTAATATAGATGGATTTTGCAGCTGCCAGTTCAATATTCAGGCCACAGAAATACTATCCTGGAGTAAAGGGTCCGTAATCATACAACTTTTCCATCTCTCTATATTTCTTCCTGCAGCTCAGGTTAATGTCACCATCGACTCGAAACATCCTGAAGTCTGATACCATCCGACAGTGGTCCAGGAAGTATGAGTGTGTCACTTCGTTGCTGCAATGCTCCACGAAGCACATCAAGCTCCAATCACTATCTTAATCAGTTATGACAAGCGATCGCTAGAACAACGACCGCTCTGAAACACCCATTGTTTCCTCAGTAGCTCCTCCAAGATTACAGGCCTCGCTTCTGCCAGTAGAACTGTTACCACAATGAGCTGATGGAAGACTTCCCAATAACTAAAATATGATGCACAAAAAACCCCACTAACAGAGTGGTAAAATGCACCTGGTAAAAGTCATGTTGAAGCAGGGGGTGGGAACTTGTCTGATAAAGTAATTAAAATTGGGGGATCTGCTGTTACTCACCAGAAATAAAAATAAAAATCTTAAGTGAAAAAACAACAACAAACCAGTGATTTTAAAAAAGGAGAGAGAGAGAGAAAAAGCCCTATAACAAATCTACTGCACCACTTATGGCAAATACTGTTATTAATATGGGGACAACTACGGTACATTAAAACTTTCTGGTAAAACACTGCGCCCTAGTGGTGAAACCTTTAGTTAAATTTAGCAAATTCTGATTTTCATTTACTTTTAAGGGAATAAGCCAAAGATTTTTTTAAAAAAAAAAATCTGTTATTTCCATTTTTTAAATTTATGAATGGACCTGTAAAAGCAGTAGCAATGGCCAAATGTATATTCTGAGTAGCCCAATTTTTATAACTGACCTATTTGTATACATTAGAGCCATTCCACATAATAAAATAAATTACTTTTTAATTTCTTGTATCTTTTATTTGTAAGTTGTATCTTATATAATTTATTTCAGTCTGTTACTGTTCTTATTTTCTTGGAGCAACGGTAACCACATAATTTCCTCAGGGATTAATAAGGTATTCTGATTTAAGTTATTCTGTTCAATTAAAAACTTTCCATAAAAAAAATAATGTTTCTTCTATAAAATAAATATTATTTTAAAGATTTAAGCCTAAATTATCCGATAAAATAGCTTCAGATCTGCTTTTAAACAATGTCCACGATCTACTTCTTAGTGGAGAAGGAAAAAGTGAACACGCTTGTGTTAATTTAAGCTTATATAGTCATGCGTGTTGCTCATCTAACTGTAGGCAACGCTACCTGGAACTTGAGAGTGAATTTCACTGTAAATAACTGCGAGCTGTGTGTGTGTTTCTGTGCAAGTCAGTAAGCTGGTTTAGGTAAACCGACAAAAGAAACGAAACAGCAAGCAAGCATAGTGACAACATTAAAGGACGGACGTGCTTACGGAAAAGTTTCATAACGGCGTTAACAGGCAGAGACAACACGGAGAACATGACAAACACACCGCCCGGCAGTAGTGATCTGCTCTTTGATATCAGAAGTGTTTGTCGGTTAAATTAAGCTACTGGTCTTGCAAACGAAAACCCGTATTTAACACAAACCTATTGTCAGGCTCTTACACAGACCCACTTCTACTGCAATCTCGATTAATAACCTGCACGACTCGTCCCCGTGTTCTGAAGCTAGTTTTCAATGCTGCATTTACCTCCTAAAAAATCTGACTGACCCCTCACTCGTTTTTCAGTCGACCCTTTGTTACAACAAAAACCCCTCGAACTGCCCTGCTAAGGGTGGAGGGTGGAGATCTTCGACGGATCGGCTCAACCAAATTCTTTAGCTACAGTTTACCATTCACGACTGAAGTTTATAGACAACTGCTGTGTTCAAGCCACTGATGACACATCTCCATATCGCTACTAAAAAAACTAAAATCCTTCATATTTCTGGTAGTTGTTTTTCCTGCTAAAGTAAGAGACTTAAGATCAAATCAACAAGGCAACGATACTTAACTCGCTAATGCTAACATGCTAACGCAGCCACTTTTTTTACAATATGGTGCTTAAAAAACATCTCATCCAAGCAAGCGGGGTCAAATCATTCTCAAGGTGCCCAGAACAGATGGTGAATGTAGAGTGACTTGGAACATACCGGATTTGATGTTAGGACAGCTTGGAAACACAGGCTTCGTCCGAGGTTTAAATCCCACTGCAGTCTGCTGCCAATCCGATTAGCTTCCGCTAGTTAAATGCTAGCTAGGCCTGCATTGTGTCTTCAGTCAATGGTGAGCCCGACAGCGAGAGAAGGCCTTACAGCGCAGAACCCCCAGAGGGGAAAAGTTCTCATGGTATCAATAAATGAATTCATCTAATCTTAAAATTTATACAGCAGTTAGTTATAACATGATTTATCCTTCTCTAAAATCGACTGCCTTAAAGCAGCGAAAACCACTTTTCACCGGAACTAACCACGTCCTTATACAGCTACGAATCCGACGTCATTTCCGCGCATTACCGTAATTAGCAGGAATTCTTCATATTTTATCATTAATGAGATATATATATATATTTGTTAAACAATATGAATAAATAAAAAACATGTACAGACAACAAAGTACCCAACGCTGTTATGATCTCTCTATTGTCAAAAATATAATCAGCCATATTTGGAATCATGTTACACAGCAAGTGAAACAAGAGGGGGAAAAAAGACATGTTACGGTAAAAAAAAAAAAAAAAAGACATTGCCGTGACGTAACCAGAATATACCAGTAATTTTCCAGCTGTTGTGCTAAACTTTGTTAAACGAAAATTAAAGTTTGATCCGTTTTGGTGTTAGTAAAAATGATGATGACGATAATAACGATAACAACAACATTAATAGCAGTGGTAGTAACAGGGCAAAGAGTGTTATGGGCACATGACAGGGCCTAAACCAGCTAGAGTACAGCAGGGGTGTCAAACATAGGGCTTTGGGCCAAAATTCCCCTGGCAAACCCTCCAACCCAGACCACAGGACAGGTTTGGAAAATGTGAAGGTAGGAATAAACATTAACTTATAACTTTACTTTCAGAAGTTTTACAGCTTTTCCTACTGATGATGACTTTGGCCATGACCATTCATGTTACAAAATAAAAAGGAATGAGATAATGAGATAGGCATGGAGAACACAACAGCAAGCATGTTTTGTTTGAGTTTGCGGCAGTGTGTGGAATTACCAAAATTAAAGAGGAGATAGCCTAACATATGAAACAGGAAAAGACCACTGTGTAATTCATTTATTTCAGCAAAGTAACTATATTCTAATTATCACCTATGTTTATGTGGTAACTGTAACGCAATAGAGATACTCATATTTTGTATTTTAATTACATAATTCTGGTACATATATTCAGTTACTCCCCAACACTGTGTATTGGGTAAGGTTCAAGTACATCATTCTCCAAAATGTTGTCCAGGTGATTTTGTTTTTGGTGCCTGCACTGCATCAGTTCTTCCAATGTCTGTATTGGCTTTGACTATGAGGTCTAACCAGTGTTTTATGTATTGATATGTGTCGCTGAGGCTGGACACTCAAAATCAGAACCCGGAAGAAGTCCAAGTCCTAATTAAACTTCTTAACAGGCTCTGAAATGTACTCAAATGTCACAGTCTGTAGATGTGACAAAGAAAACAGGTGAGCTGTTTATTGAAACGCTTGGAAAAAGTTCAGACAACAAAATAAAGTCCAAATGGGGGGAAATGAAATACTGTGTCCAACTAACTATCAGAATAAAGCAGTAAGTGAGAGGATTGATGAGTGATATTAGATTTACTGGATGCAACTTCAATAATAAATGATTGTTGTTGTTGTTGTTTTTTACATGTTAATAGCATTTCACACTTTCACACTGTTCAGCAAACAAGTAACTTAGAAGAGCAACACATGTAGAGGTCCACACTGTGTTTAGAAAAGTTAAACTTAACATGGACATATACCCTTAAAATGTCCACTTTAGCAACTGTCACTTGCCCAGTGATGCTTACCTTAGAAATTAATCTCTTCTTCCTTTTCTGTCTTCTCTTTTTTTCCCGCTGTAATCCACTGCAAGTGTGTGTAAAATCTGTCAGCACCCTGCAAAATGTTTTCTTCTATTAATGTTATGACAACATTCATTTGAACGAAAAGCATTCTAAAGGCCTCTGATACATTTGCTATGCTCCACCCTGGTTACTGTTGAGTAGCAATAATCAACCTGGCTTGTATATTTTAAAATGTCATCTTTTTGTAACATAACAAATTTTCCAGGAGCGTCTGGAAAGCCACAAATCTCTTTTTTTTTCCAGGAAAAAGAAGCATTAAGCAGCCAGTCTGTTTTTTTTTACTGATGGACGACCATAGATTTAAGTGTGCTTTTAAGCATGAAATAAAATTAACACACACACACACACACACACACACACACACACACACACACACACACACACACACACACACACACACACACACACGCATAGTTTCCCTAGCTAAACAGCAAAAGATACCAGATCCTAAATTCAAACATTTTCATTCCTCTTTGTTAGATTTTAGTAGTTAGCCTGGAAGATTTTCAAACATGGTTGGTGTAAGAATGGGCTGTAAGAAAGTACTTGCTTTGTTATATCACACTAAAGGAATTACAAAATGTGAGTACCCATGTACAAATGCCTCATTCTCCTAAGCCTAGTCTGACAAAACAAATAAAGAGGGATGCCCATCTGAAACAGTCTTTCATGTCCTTGAGCAGTCAAAGGAGAATTTATTTACTTCAGTAAAAATGATCAATAATCCAATAAGATAATACACCATTGCAATGCAAAAACTTACTGAAGTGGTATATACATGATTCAACTTCTCTTTTGTAACCATAATGCAAAAATTGCATGCACAGTTGTACTCTTAAAAGCATTTCACACTATGCAGCAAGAAGGTACCTTAGAAGAGCAACACATGTACAGGTCCATACTGTGTTTAGAAAAGTTAAACATTAATGTGGACACTGCATGTCACCTTTAAATTTCCACTTTAGCAACTGTCACTTGCCCAGTGGTTCTTACCTTAGAAAATAATCTCTTCTTCCTTTTCTGTCTTCTCCTTTTTTCAACTGTAATCCACTGCAAGTGTGTGTAAAATCTGCCAGCACTCTGCAAAATGTTTTCTTCAGTTAATGCTATGACAACATTCATTTGAACATAAAGCACTCTAAAGGCCTCTGACACATTTGCTAAGCTCCGCCCCCAGTTACTGTTGAGTAGCAATAATCAATCTGGTTTCTATATTTTAAAATGTCATGTTTTTGTAACATAAAAATTTCCCAAGTTTCCAGGAGCCTCTGAGATGGCACAAATCTCACTTTTTTCAGCAGAGAGAAGCCAGTCTGTTTTGTTTTAGTGATGGATGACACAAATTCAAGTGTGCTTACAAGCATGAAATAAAATTAAACAATTTCCCCAAGTCTTGTCCTGAAATGCCATGGTTCACTTTTTTCACAGAAGAGAAGCATCAATCTTTCTTTTTTCTTTTCTTTCCTTTTTTTTAAACTCATGATGACACTGATCCAGAAACGCTGTTAAAAAACAGACTGTACCCTTATGTCATGTCAAACACAGCAGGCAAACGAACCTGTCACCACCTTGCATTGATTCATAAATATCCAATCATATCTAATCAAGTTGCGACTAACTTTAAGTTGTGTAACGGTCAAGCAACTTGACAGCATAGCAAGTCCCTTGTTGTAAAGTACTCATAAAGTTTTCACAAGTATTTATACTTTATATTTAAAAAGTATAAAATAATAAAGATAAATATAATACTCGTGATAATACGCAAAATTTTACTTAAGTAGGATTTTATATGTCAGATTCTTAATTAAAATTATTACATTAGTATTATCCTAATGTACTGTTAATAGTTTTGCTGAAGTAACTATGTTCTCCTGTCATCTTATAAGGACGTGCAGTCGTGTAGGAAAAGACAACAAGGCTGTGGTGTGCTGGGAAAGTACAGCTGAAGTGGTGAGGGAAACTGCCAAGAAGGTGTTTGTTGATTTCTCTGGACAGAGGAGAGAAGGGAAGGGAACTTGGTGGTGGAAGTACGGTAAAGGGTTTAAAGGAAGAGCATGGAAAAGAAGAAAGTCGACAGTACTACTGGGAGACTGGGCAATGAGATGGCAAAGGAAAATCCTTATAGTGAGTGTGATGTGCACTAAGGAAGGAAAGAAAGGACTTGTATCAACCGACTAGGCAGCGAGACTGAACCTGAAAGGATGTGCAGCAGATTAGGGTGATTAAATATAGAGATGTAAGTATTCAGTTAGTATATTTGTTCAGTTAGTATATAGTGTTGGAAAGAGTACTTTGATGAGCTGATGAGTCAAGAAAATTATAGAAAGAGGATATAGGAAATTAGTGAATTAGTAAAAAGGGAGTTAGGACAGCTATGAAGAGCATGAAGAGTAGAGAGGATGAAGAGTGGACAGGTAGTTGGTCCAGATGACATACCTGTAGAGGTATGGATATGTGTCCACTCCTTTTGACCACCAGCCGGGTCCTTTGGGGCACTCTGATTGGCTGCTACTTAGCAATACATTTAGGCTAGTGTAACATTCATTGATGTGAAACACCTTGATATAATTATGACCAGAGCATTATGTGTTAAGATTAATTTGGAAATATTTGTTCATTTTATTTTCATAATTATTTGTATTGCTAAGGAACGCTTAGCAGCAGACCACATCATGAAAGATCACTGATGCCACTACAGAGTCACAGAAAGTCTTCAGGACTGATAAATCCATCATCATGAATAAGCAGATTAAAATTTTTAACGCAGTTAACCCATCTGAAGTGCAGAATGACTCAAAATCCCTGACGCGTCTCTGTCAACGCATTTCGGGCAGTTTGTCCAAGGAGAGTTACCTTCGCACATGAGCAAACAGGCAGTTGATCTGGTAGTGACAGGCAGCAGAATTAGTCAACTAAATATGGAAGATGATTGGTCCTCTCGATGGGAAATTTGAGTATAAAAAAACAAAAACAAGACGGAACAGTTGACCGACACAAAGTATTATGCAATTGTGCAAGAAGGAATCTTCTTTTCACCGAAGCACTTCCAGCTTAAAATATCACATTTTAATGCAAAGCATTACTTGAAAGACTGCTGCATGATGAGTCCTCACCTCGACAGACTTGTAATGAGTGAGTCTGTTACAGATGGGCTCAGATTCAGAATCAGATGAGGAGTTTCTGCCTGTATAGAGCAGAGCCGATCATTAGGACTGTCCCTCGGAGTGGTGGTCAGCTCCTTCAGGAGCTCATGACAAGCTGGCACTGCTGGCTTGCAAATATCTGCCCACTCCTGCAACCGCTGTTCTGTGCGAGAGACCGTTCACAGTTGCAAGCAACATTGTAAATAAGAAGCGGTCAGCTCTCCTCTCGGGC